CCAAAGTGAGAAGCCATTGGAATCGGTTGAGTCATCCCTTGGGGACAAAAAGTCGGAAAAGAAATCTATAAAATCCAGACGTAAATCAGTCTACATTGAGCAGCAGCAGGGGGAGGAGAAGGCAATTAGTGGACCCGAATCAAACACTTCGAAAGATCAACATGAGAAAGTAAAGGAATGTGAGAAGTCACTGGATATGGATACAGAATCCCTGGACAATAAATCTCTTAAGAATCCTACAAAATCCCGACGTAAATCTATGTACATCGATGCCACTGATTCCGAATCTTCCAAAGACGAAACTGCTAAACCGATCAAATCTACTAGACGCAAATCGATCTATCTTGAGAAGGGTAACCCAAGAGATGTACATGATTCGGACGCTTCGAAAGAACAATTTGAGAATCCGACGAATTCTCTGGGAAATACGAATGAAAACGCTTTGCAAGAACCCTCTCTAGACAGCCAAGGCAAGAAATCTGAGGAGGGATGTGCAAAATCAAGGATGGAAGAAACCTCAAGACCCCAAGAAGAAATTGAAACCACTGAAATTTTAAAATCTTCCAAAGTCATGGGTGGTAAACCTAGGAAAGCTGCGAGCCTCGAGAAAGGAGGAATTAAAGAAGACACAGATGTAACCAATAAACAACCTAAGAAAATCGAAAGAAGTCATCTCGAGAAATCTGCAACTAAAGAAGACAGCGAATCGGTTAAACAACCCAAAAAGAGAGGTCGTAGAAAATCAATGTTTGTGGATCGAAAAGAGTTAAATGAAAATTGTGGAGACGCCAATCAGGCTGATAAAAATCAACATCAATCGATGGCCTTGTCTCAATTTCATGATAGCGCATCATCATCGGATCTATCGCTTAGTCAATGGATAATTGCCCAAAGGGAAATGAAAGAACAGACCAACCAGCAAGCCGCAAAGAAACGAAGAAAATCGATGCATACGGAGGGCCAAAAGGAAACTTCAACATATGAGGATGGCCAGGAGATAACAACCTTCACAGAAAAGGAACAAAGTAATATGGCGGTTCCTAGTAGCACGAAAGAAAAATCACAGGTAGAATTCGAGAAGGATAGGCTACCGTTAAGAGCACGCAGTAAATCTTTGTATGTAGAACCCCATGGCCACAGCACTGATACCTATAAAGAGATTCTCAACAATGAAATTATTAGCTCCACGAAAAAACATTTAAATCTACATCGCCGCATTGTGGATTCCAGTGGTGATGAAGCGGCGGATAATATCGCCGTACACATCTTACCCATAAAACCGGTCATACAAAATGTGGAGATAATTACCCCGCCACCGGCAAAGAAAAAATGCCTAGCAAAGAAACGGCGTGTTGTAAAGGTACTCAGCTCTTCGTATCAACAGGATCAGCCCGCAAATGATATACATAATTCTTCTTCATCCAAAGAACCCCCTATTGAAAAACCATGTTTGTCCATGCTCAATACCCATCCAATATTCAATAGCCAAGTCATGGATGAACTCCATGAACCAAATCCAAATAATTTGACACCATCATTGCTACATGATGATCGTTTTAAGGAAATCGACTCAACCATGCAGGACATGTTTAATTCACCACAACATGAACCAACAAGTGGTGAAGATTTCCAAAGCACCACCACAACAACAAATCAAAAACAAATTTCGAATTTCGAATCGAAAACAGATCTGACCCTGGATGAGACTACAACAACAAATTCCAATAAAGAAAATACCACCTGTTCCAGTGATACCACAAACAACTCCATCACCACCAACGCCACCACATCCTCAACTTCCATTTCAACACACAATACCAGTGACAGCACGAAACATGTCACTCTGGGCACTTCGGAATATCGTTTCGAAAAGGTTTCCGAAAATGTTGTAAATTTATTTATATCGCGGAAAAGAAAACGAAAACAAAAATAAGAAGAAGAACTATTTAAAAGTATTTTTTTTAATTATTTTTTAAGGTTATGTTTTTTGGGTTTTGAAATTAAAAAAAAAGTATTTTTTAATTTAAGTTCGCTTAAGAAATTTTTACTGTATATATACGTTAATATGAACAATGTTATTGTTGTTTTTTATGTTTATATAAGAAATATGGACTTATATGAAAAAAAAATAAATTTTTGAAATAATTATACTAAAATTCTTGAGAAATAAAATTAATTTGTATAATAAGAAACTTTTTTCGTAAGATTTCAATAAAAAACCTGGCTGAATTAAGGTTTAAGTTTTCATAGGAAATCTTCAATTCAGCCTGGCTGAATTAATGTTTCCATAGGAAATCTTCAATTCAGACTGGTTGAATTAAGGTTTCCATAGGAAATCTTCAATTCAGCCTGGCTGAATTAAGGTTTCCATGGGAAATCTTCAATTCAGCCGGACTGAATTAAGGTTTCCATAGGAAATCTTCAATTCAGCCTGGTTGAATTAAGGTTTCCATAGGAAATCTTCAATTCAGCCTGGCTGAATTAAGGTTTCCATAGGAAATCTTCAATTCAGCCTGGCTGAATTAAGGTTTCCATAGGAAATCTTCAATTCAGCCTGGCTGAATTAAGGTTTCCATAGGAAATCTTCAATTCAGCCTGGCTGAATTAAGGTTTCCATAGGAAATCTTCAATTCAGCCTGGCTGAATTAAGGTTTCCATAGGAAATCTTCAATTCAGCCAGGCTGAATGAATTAAGGTTTAAGTTTTCATAGGAAATCTTCAATTCAGCCTGGCTGAATTAATGTTTCCATAGGAAATCTTCAATTCAGACTGGTTGAATTAAGGTTTCCATAGGAAATCTTCAATTCAACAATTCAATTCAGCCTGGCTGAATTAAGGTTTCCATAGGAAATCTTCAATTCAGCCTGGCTGAATTAAGGTTTCCTTAGGAAATCTTCAATTCAGCCTGGCTGAATTAAGGTTTCCATAGGAAATCTTCAATTCAGCCTGGCTGAATTAAGGTTTCCATAGGAAATCTTCAATTCAGCCTGGCTGAATTAAGGTTTCCATAGGAAATCTTCAATTCAGCCTGGCTGAATTAAGGTTTCCATAGGAAATCTTCAATTCAGCCTGGCTGAATTAAGGTTTCCATAGGAAATCTTCAATTCAGCCTGGCTGAATTAAGGTTTCCATAGGAAATCTTCAATTCAGCCTGGCTGAATTAAGGTTTCCATAGGAAATCTTCAATTCAGCCTGGCTGAATTAAGGTTTCCATAGGAAATCTTCAATTCAGCCTGGCTGAATTAAGGTTTCCATAGGAAATCTTCAATTCAGCCTGGCTGAATTAAGGTTTCCATAGGAAATCTTCAATTCAGCCTGGCTGAATTAAGGTTTCCATAGGAAATCTTCAATTCAGCCTGGCTGAATTAAGGTTTCCATAGGAAATCTTCAATTCAGCCTGGCTGAATTAAGGTTTCCATAGGAAATCTTCAATTCAGCCTGGCTGAATAAGGTTTCCATAGGAAATCTTCAATTCAGCCTGGCTGAATTAAGGTTTCCATAGGAAATCTTCAATTCAGCCTGGCTGAATTAAGGTTTCCATAGGAAATCTTTAATTCAGTCGGGCTGTACAAGACTTCTCACACGAAATCTTCACCGATTTTTCATACAACCCTCGTCTTAGTAGATATTAATTATAATATTTCTAACGCACGCGATTCACATATGTAAGCTGTTACTGTCTGTTGTTGTTGTCGTTGTCATTTGGCGAAAAACCAACAACTACGTCATCTTTAGCCGAAATGACTGATTGTCTGGCTGACTGTTTGTCCATTGGTCTAGCATAAATTGTATTCATTAGAATAAATATTAGAAAACTCAAATGAGATCCCCAAACAAAAATATCAGAAAAGAGACAAACTGCCCGAGAGAGGGAGAGTGTGAGAAAATTGATTCAATTATCTGCTCTTTTGGCACATCCAATTTTCAATTTACATAAAAATCCGCACATTTTCAAAACACAAACCCAAAAATCTCTGGTACGTGGGGGCAAAATATTGAGATGGCCAAGCAAATGCTGAGCAGTTGTTACGCGTATCTTCAAACGAACACAAGGTGTTCCGCGCTACGGTGCCAGGCGCGTTATAACCGCCTTTGCAGAATTAAAAAAAATCCCAAAAAATATTTCAAAAACAATTTGTATTCAATTTTGCTTTTAAAAAGTAAAAAGTAATTAAAATATTAAAAAAAATTAAAAATTGAAATTAAAAAAATTTAAATGAATTGCGTAAAAATTCTCGAAGTGAAAATTTGGAGAACAAATATTATAAAAAAGGAAATTCATGATCGTAGAACAAGGAACCAAAAAAGAAAATCACTATTTTTAGCTGCATTTGGATCTGTGAAAAAAAATTATTCTTGTTTGAATTTTTTTTTTATTTTTGTCGTGTTTTTGTTTGAGATTTCCTTTTAATATTGGCGGGGGACAATTTTTGGCTACTCGCGGGAGAAAATCTCTCCCATGCCCAGAAGAGAGAATAGAAGAGCATATGAAAACAATAACAATTTAGTTTGTTTTGATAGTTTTGTTTGTGTGTTGTTAATAATTTAAGACCTGAAGACTAAGCTACCATGTGATAACCGATCATGCCTGAATTGAACATTTTTAATAAAATATTTAACATAACATTTGTTTGTATTGTTAACCAAAACTGTTAATTGCTTCAATAAGCCGAGCAAATATGGGGCAAAGTTTAATGATTTACGATAAATACGCATATTCAGCCAAGCTGAATTGAAGTTTTCACACAAAAAATGTATGGAAACCTTAATTCAGCCGGGCTGAATTGAAAATTTCCCATGGGAAACCTTATTCAGCCGGACTGAATTGAAGATTTCACATTGGAAACCTTATTCAGCCAGGCTGAATTGAACATTTCCCATTGGAAACCTTATTCAGCCAGGCTGAATTGAGTATTTCCAATGGAAATCTCTTATTCAACTGAACCAAATTCGTTAGGTGTTTCGTTATTCCCTAGTTAAGTTAATTCTAGTCAAAAGACATTCTCAAGATGTCAATGACCGCATTGGGTGTCAGCACCGCCTTTATGGTCGGTTGCTGTATTGCAGCACAAATTGCCCGCCGTTTGGCCGCCAAGTTTTTCAAAGACCAGGGCATTGTACCGGTTTTGGTAAATGAAGCCATCGCATCGGCAGAATTGTGTGCCTGCTGTTTCGAGCTGATAATTGGTAAGTTTGTTTCGATTCGCTGCGATCTCTTCCGAATATTTATTAACCTCTCAATATTCCCAATTTTTAGTTGCCGATAACTTTGGTGTGGCGGCCTATGCTGTATTCCTCTTTCTCTTGACGGTATGGTGGGGCAAGGTGTGGGGCGATGCCTCCGCTTGCCCCTATACCCACATGGAGGATATGTTGGAGGGTAAGACATCTTTGAAAGATGTTGCACTACGCACCTGGGCTGAGTTGATGGGCGGTTGTTGTGTTTATCGCATTGTCCAGGTGTTTTGGTGGTTCGAATTTGCGGAAACCCATGAGGGTAGGGCATTTGAGGAATGCAATGCTGATTTACAGGTGAGTTAGTCGGGATCGTATGCGGAATTATTTATTATATTTTTTTTTTTGCCTTTTTAAAGGTGAATCCTTACTTGGGTGCTGCCATTGAAGGCCTGGCCACCTTGTTATGCCGCCTGGCGTCCAAAACCTTGAGCGAAAAGGGTCCCAAATTCTGCAGCATCATTGATTCGTTTATCGGCACCAGCCTGGTGGTGGCAGGTACGTCACACGCAAACCAAACTTTCCTTCCAACCCACTCACTGTATAAACTCTTGCCCGTCTGGAACACTTGAGATTTTCTCAAATACAGTTTATGCTTTTAATTATGCCATGTTTTCAGCTTTCAACTTCTCCGGCGGTTACTTCAATCCGGTCCTGGCCACCGCTCTGAAATGGGGTTGCCGTGGCCACACCAACTTGGAACACATTATTGTCTATTGGATTGGTGCGTGTGTGGGTGCCATATTATCGGTGCCACTATTCCGAATGCAAGCTGTCCGTAAGGTCTTGCTGGGTGCTGACGAAGTGGCGGACAAGAAAAAGGAGGAATAGGAGAAGGAGGGAGATCCATCAAGAAGAGGTTGTCTTGATTTTAAAATTGTTATGCTCATGAGATTTTGTTTTGTTTTACTATTGTTGTAATTAGACAATTTGTTAACTTATTTATTTATTTATCTGAGATAAATAGCTGATATTTAAATTCTGAAGCTTAATATTTATTTTTAGTTATTTTAAATGGAAATAAATGACAAATGTTTTTTGAAAACTAAAAAAATAATTAAAAGCATATTAAATAACATATTCAGCTACTCTGAATAGAAGATTTCCTATGGGAAACCTAATTCAGCTGGGCGGAATTGAATATTTCCTATGGAAACCTTATTAAGCTGAGCTGAATTGAAGATTTCCCATGGGAAACCTAATTCAGCTGGGCAGAATTGAAGATTTCCTATAGAAAACCTTATTCAGATGATCTGAATTGAAGATTTCCTATAGGAAACATTATTCAGATGATCTGAATTGAAAATTTCCTATAGAAACCTTAATTCAGCCGGGCTGAATTGATGATCAGCCCGGCTGAAGTGAAGTTTTCCCCTGGGAAACCTAATTCAGCTGGGCAGAATTGATGATTTCCTATAGGATACCTTATGCAACTGAGCTCAATTGAAGATTTCCTATAGAAACCTTAATTCAGCCATTCTGAATTGAAAAATTCCCATGGGAAACCTTATTCAGCCAGGCTGAATTGGAGATTTCCTATGTGAAAGAATTAAGAACGAAGTTTTAAAAATAACTTTTAAATTTAACGGCGATGCAGAGTTGTAATTATTGTAGTATGAATTTATTCTTTTAAAATGCAACCGTGAATTGTTTTTCCCTCCACCCACCATATGATCCATGAACCATATGATTGACGACCATATGTTTTTCAATTGCACAACAAAAATAAAAAAGCGCAAAGGTAAGAATGGAAATTCATTTCTTAAAATAGAACAAAAAATACATAACTGGAAATATTTCAGATGTCCATTCTGTCGGCCTTAAGAGGATTGTGTAGAACGTGGGGAGGCGTTGCAACAAAGACTTCTGTTATAAAATTGAATAAAATGCCACCATATCTGAAGTCAACAAATGAAATAGTCCGGCCGGTTAGTACTGCTACAACAACAAGACAGAGGCAGCAACAACAAACCACCAACAATGCGAACAATGCGGATGCAGATGAATGGCGTACCATATATCGTTTACCATTGATCCGCTTGGCCTCCGCTTTCAATCGTGTTAAAATTCCCTATGGTGTTTTTAATGCCATCAGCATACCCGTTGCCTTTGCCCTGGAACAGGCATCACAGCTGCCAGCATCAACGGCCACATTAGTCGGCGCCGTGGGTCTCACCTCCTGGATGACCTTGTCCATTTGTAGTTTGCTGACGAAAAACCTGGTGGGGATCATCTACATAAATGACAACAATGATAAGATGAAGTTGGCCTATATCGATTTTTGGGGTAACCGCAATGATGTTGTCATCGATTTGGATGATCTGATGCCGGAAAGTGAAAAGAAACGGCCATCGAAATTTGATTTCTATCAAACGCTGACATTGTGCAGCAATGATCAGGTGAAATATAAGTTATTGCAAAGATTCGGTCAAGTCGAAGATCCGGAAACATTTGTGGCGATATTTGGGGAATAACAGTTAAATTTAAGGTAAACATTAAATAAATTTTGTTGTTATTGGAAAAAAAGAAATGTAGTTAGTTTTATTTTGTAGCTATGTAGTATTTTGAAATAAAGTTAAGGTTCTCTAAAGGAAATCTTCTAATCATCACTGCTGAATTAAGGTTTCCAAAGGAAATCTTCAATTCAGCCTGGCTGATTTAAGGTTTCCATAGAAAATCTTCAATTCAGCCTGGCTGAATTAAGGTTTTCTTTAGGAAATCTTCAATTAATCCCGGCTGAATTGAAGATTTCCATTGGAAACCTTAATTCAGCCTTGCTGAAATAAGTTTTTCATAGGAAATCTTCAATTCAGCCTGGCTGAATTAATGTTTCCATAGGAAATCTTCAATTCAGCCTGGCTGAACTAAGTTTTCTTAGGAAATCGTCAATTCAGCCTGGTTGATTTAAGGTTTCCATAGAAAATCTTCAATTCAGCCTGGCTGAATTAAGGTTTTCTTTAGGAAATCTTCAATTAATCCCGGCTGAATTAAGGTTTCCAATGGAAATCTTCAATTCAGCCTTGCTGAAATAAGTTTTTCATAGGAAATCTTCAATTCAGCCTGGCTGAATTGAGGTTTCCATAGGAAATCTTCAATTTAGCCTGGCTGGGACGTAAAGAAAATATCTTTATAAAGATTTAAAATAACACCATTTATTTTTTAACATTATTTGTGCATAAAATAATTTAAAAAAATAAATAAATTCAAAACTACAATTATTAATAATAAAATCGATAACAATAAATATACTCGTATGTAAGCTAATATAAAATAAAATTCCTGTATATATAAATATTTACAACAGTTTAGAAAACAGGTTTTCTATGTTATGGATGATTCCACATTGTCATTGGAGCTAGTGGTTACGACGTTGACGTTTGTGTTGTTGGTGGCAGGTGTTGGCAATGAATCATCATTTACATGCTGCTTGGCTTGGGATTTTCTCAATTGTTTTGCTTCGGCAACCTGTAATCAAAATAAAACAGAAAGAGAATGAAAACAGATTTCAATACAATGTAATGACAAGAGATTCACCACCTACCGTATCTGGTAATTTCTTTTGGAATGTTTCGGGTAATAGTAAACCCAATAAACCAGCTGTCAGGGAGGCACCACCAAATAACAATAATGGCAGAGCTTCATAATAGGTACCCTTGGGGGAAAAAATAAAAAAAACATTTTGAATTATATAAAAAAATTGGAAAATACGGAATCTTACCAATAGCGGCACAAAGGGTGCCAGCATGGCACCAAAACGGGCAAATGTTGACATAACACCCACACCACCACTGCGTATAACCTGAGGATGAAAAATAGAGACATTTAGGTTTTAATTTATAATAAATTTTAGAAAAAAAATAAGGTTACCGTTGGCATCATTTCCGCCGTATAGGCATAGACGACAGCAAACGAAGAGGTTATACCCAATTTTCCAATCAGAAAAAGGCTAACAATGGCCCAGGTGGAACCTAAAAAAATGCAATTCATGTCAATGGTATTTTTTAAATTTATTATTAAAAAGATAGTGAAAATTACGCTCTTCCATTAATCCTTGTACTACAATGGTTGGCATTAAATATATTTTGTAAGAATAGGAAAAATTTTAAAAATATATATTTTAATCAATTTGAATAATGAAGTTATTATTTACTTAATAAATAAGAATCATGAATAATGTTTTATATTTGATTTGAGATTGAAAGGAAAAAAAACTCCAAAAGACTCTATGATTTTATAAAAACATAGTTCGGTCTTCTTTAGGATATAATCAAGATATCTGAAAAAACGAAAATAACTCTTTAAATTTTATGAAAGCACTCTGGTGTTCTGTAGAAACAAAATACCCTACTTCTTCTATAGAAAGACTCTAGATCTTTCATGGAGCACACATTCTTGTCTTCAATGAGAATCTTTTATTAAAAGACTCCATTGTCTTGATTGAGATTGGACGCAAACAGCAGATGGACTTTTGGTTTTAATATACCATTGACAAGTCCTCTATGAAAAGCAAACTTGAAAAGACATTTACTGAAGAAGAACTGTTGATCTTCTATGAAGAGACCTCTGATGTTGTGTGAAGACAAAAAATACCCTACATCTTCTATAGAAAGACACGAAAGTCTTCAATGGAAACACATTATTTTCTTCAATGAGAACCTTCTAAGCAAGACTCCATCGCCTTTATTCAAAAACGGATTTTCGTCTTCAATGAGAATCTTTAATAAAAGACTCCATCGCCTTGCCTGAGAAGTTTGTCCAATTTTCTTTCCAAATACACGTATTTTTGTGTTTTCCATGAAAATCATTATTGGATCTTTTAAGGGTTTTGAGTTTGGACCACGTGTTTACATTTGGTTTAATCAAGCATCAAATAACTCAGCAAGCAGTTGGTAATACGGAGTAGCAAACAGGACAATGTTGATGCTCCAATACCAGTTTTAAACAGATCGGAGTTACATCCAGAAATAGGGTTAAGTCTGTGAGTAATAGTTTGATAAATGATTCTACTCAAACTGTGTTTAACCATCTCATATTCATAGAATCTCACATCCGAAGAATGTGAGGTAATCATCGGCATTTAAAGTGGCTTTAAAAATTTATATTACAATTTACCTTGAGTTATATAACCACCAGCCACACATGTCACGGCACATAGGAACAAAGAACCGGTCAATGAAAAACGGCGGCCAAATTTGCGCAAAGAAAACTATAAAATATAAAATTACAAAAATGGAAAATCTTAAATTTTATATCACATAACCTACCCAAGCTAGGGAATAACCAGGAATTTCTACCAGGCAAACTAAGGCGAAATTTAAGTACTTATTGCCGCTAAGATTTGTGGAATTTAGGGAGAGACCATAATACACCACGGCATTAATGGCCCTAAAAATAGAAATAAAATTAAAATATATTATCAAAATAAAAATAGTATTTCAAATAATTACCAAATATACAATAAAATTGTATAACGAACAATTAACGTCTTCGATTTGAATACCTCCTTAACAGACAACCATATTTCTGATGTATTGTCACCCAAACTCTCCCTGCTACTACTGCCGCCATCATCTGCATCACAACATTTCGAGGATTCTAATGGTGTGGTGGATTTAAAATTATCCAATAATGCCATGGACAGTTCCTTTTTATTAACTTCCGCTGCTTTGCGTATAATTTTCCCAGCACTTTCACGTTTATTTCGAGCAATCAACCATCTAACCGATTCGGGGACAAACCAATAATATGCCAAGAAAAATAGAGGTGGTACAGATAAAGCATACTGCAGCAGTTGCCAATCATGTAGAAGCCATGCTGCCAAACCAACGAGGGCCTCACCCACAGCATAAAAATAATTGAGAACAATAGATGACATTTCCCGTTTTCTTGGTCCCACCATTTCAACACCAATGATAAAGGCCAAGGGATATACTCCTGAAGTTCCCACCGCATTGAGAAAGGCAAATACTAGAAAACTATTATAATTCCAGGCAAGACCTTGGGCAATACCCGTGACAGCCATGAACATTATGCATATTATGAATATTATTTTGCGGCCAAAACTGTAAAGAGAATCGGAGAATTTTTGTATAAGATAGAGAGGGAGAGAGAAATATATACAAAAGAAAATATTTACCGATCTGCACAATAACCCGATAATGCTGTACCGCAAACTAAGCCCGCAAAATGCATTGTCCCCACAAAGGCCAATTTCCAGGCGTTCTCCTTGCAGGTTAACTCCCACTAGAATAAGAATGCAGGAAAAGAGATATATAAAATTACACAAAATAAGGAAGAGAAACACATATAATATAACGATGAAAAATGTACAAATCATGTAAAATCTTCTCAAACGACATTTAGTAATAATTTTGAAATCAGATGATTTTAATAACAAAATGCTCTTTAATAAAAAAAATACTTCCTAATAATTTCAGGTTGTCCTTGGAATTCTACGGTCAGCAGAGAAACATTTAGAAAATACGCATCGGTAAGTTTCCAACAAATAATATTAATTACAATTCATTTTGTTAAAAAAAATTAAAATATTATGGAAATTTTCGTCTTTACGACCCACAACAAATCGATGGAACAAATTGTAGTTTAGCAATCCGAAACAATTCATGTTTGAAATAATGAAAAGTGTTTAAAATTTGCTTTTTATTTATTTAAAAAATAAGAATTATCAATAATATTTTATATTTGATTTGAGATTGAAAGCAAACAACAGATGGGTTATGGTTTTAAAATACATTTGAAAATCCCTCTATTAAAAAATCTCCAAAAGACTATGCTTTTATAACAACATAGTTCGGCATTTGTGTTTGAGAATCTTTGGAGATTCTGTAAAAACTTTTCTCTAAAGAATTTTTTTCAATATTTCCGAAAGTATAGACATTTTTTTAACTTAATAAATATCCTATAAGCTAATTTTTCAATAGTTCCGACAGATTTTCTATCAAAATTAATAAATATTTTCTTTTCATACTTACCTCTTGAACAATAGTATTTTCCTCACTATCATAGACCCATGAATTGCAACGTTGTTCGATTTTTTCAAAAAGTTCACGGGGACAGGTGTCTGGTGAAGGCGTCTCACCATTAAAGGTGTCATTTACGCGATAGCGATAACAAGTTTTTGGTGTAAAAACGCCATTCTTGTCGACATCTCCTGGTGTGGCATTTTGTATCCATGTGGGAAACAAATCCAATTCCTCCGTTGCATTTTCACATTCCGGTATGAGACATCTTGAAAAGGAAGAAAAAAAAAATATAAAAATATTAACTAATTACAAAAAACGTTCAATAAAAATCTCTTTATTTCAATATATAATCGGATGTTGTTGTTCTATGGACATTTCTTTATATCAATTTTTTTTGACAATTATGATGAAGAAAACACTACCCACCTGTACGCCGGTGTACCAGCTGTAAAAACATATGAAAGGCTATTGGCTGCTGCAAACATGACCGGTAAACAAATTAGTAAATAATTTGTTTTCTGATAACGACCAAATTCGCCAATTTCTTCTAAAACTTGGTCAAAATCCATGATGTTGGCGGCGGGAAACACAGAAAACCCCAAACAAAAATTCTAATAGCCGTTATAATTCACAACTTTGCGGATACGATCTTGTTGTTCACAATGCAACTGTTATTGACATGTTTTTTTTTTTGTTTGCCGCAGTTAACACTTTATAGCTTGATTATGTTATCTTGTCTATTTGATATTTAATTATATTTTAAATATAGGAATTTACAATGCACTAAACGAAACCGGGAACAAAAAAATGCAATTATTTATTTTTTAAAATTATTATTTAATTGATGGAGCTGCGTTCGTTCACCAATCTGTTGGAAATTGAATTGTTAAATGATTGTCGAGAATCATTATTTGAATCTATTTACGTGCCGTGGCATTCATTTGGGGGCTTTGATGCCTTCTCCGCCGACAACTAAACGTTCTCACACATCAAATGGTATTTAATGCAAGCAAGCTATATGTATGACGTATGATTAATGTTAGATTCTCTCTCAAAATGATCTCTCTCGGATTTTCCAATTAGATCAATGCATTGCATATTTACACCTTTTTAGCCACACATATTGTGGTGGGTGTTTTGGAGAGAGACAAAACTGAGAATTTTACTGTATTATTTATTTTTTTATTTTGAGATTAATAATCGATTTGTTATCGCTCATTGTAGAGATGCCAATGAGTAATTTTGTTCTTTTAAAAACATTTATTTAAATTTTTAATAAAAAGAAACAAAAATGTTTCCTAATGAAAAATAAGAGGTATGTTGTGGTCATTAGAGAATTTCTTCCGCAGAAAAATACCTGACTATTTTATAGAAGGCGACTTTATTTTCCTTTTCGAGCGATTTATACCTTTTCGATGATATCCTACTAGTCTTCTATTTATGAAACTCTATATAAAAAATAATATAAACTGTTGGTTCATCTGACATGCTATTGAAGGGATCATGCTGGTCTTCCCAAAAATTTTTATAAATTGTTGGCTCATTTGACATGCTATTGAAGGAATTTTTATTTGGGAATTTTCGGAACTTCAAACCGGCCTCCTGAACTTCAAACCGTTCTATAATCAGATTTGTTATCACAGTCCCCATTTGCTGCAAAATTTACAAGTACGGCAACAAAACAATTATTTAAAAATTTATTAACCCTAACCCATTTTCACACTAATTAAAAAATATTGTCTTTATTTTGTTGTTTCACAATGTCACAGCGAAAAATTAAAGATGATGTATTGTAATATTTTCCATCTAAACGAGATGTAGTTTTTTCCGATATATAAATATTAAATTGCGTGAAGACATTCCAATTAAAAAAATGACCGATTGATTAGCGCCAATTAGACATGAAACATGCTAATGTCGAATACAATTAAAGTAAACCGAATTAAGTGTAAAATATGATGCATTTAAAAATTAGGATGTAACGTTTTGAAAAATGGAAGTATTAAAACAGAAAATAAAATATTAATTTGGAAACAGAACGATTTTGAGATTACAATTTTTAGTACAACAGATTTACAGCAAGACTATTTTTAGTATACTTTTTTCAGTCGGAAAACAAATTTCTATGGCTCCGAGAATAGATTTTTAAATAGAAAAACTTATAGGTTTTTCATTTAGAAAGAAATCTTCAAATACTTGAATAATTCAGTAGAATTCGTAGTAGAATTCCACCATCCTTCTTCCTTTCACAAACCAAAAGGATAAATGACTGTATCTGACATTTTCCTAAATGTAAAATGTAAAAATCCAAAATTGGCTTTCATTTTTAAGTAATTAAAATCTAAAAATATTGTTATTTAAAAATTACAATTTTGTAATCGCATGGGAAATTAAATAACATAGCACCGGTGTTAGTCTCTTAAATATTTATGTTAACAACATGTTTACATTTTCAAGGCAATCTGTATTTGGCCGCCAATGGCCTTTATTATAAAATATTTGGCATATTACTGTTAAAACCACAACAATAATAGATAACGGAAAAAATTATATAATTTTGATTCGTATTTTTATAAACAAATGTATTACCAGTAACTTTATTTTATACCAAAATTTTACCATCTAACAAATTACTTAGTATATATTTTTAATATTCACATATGTTTCAATTAATTGTTTTGTATTATATTTATATACATTTTTTCTTAGTTTCAAGTGTTAAACTGCTTTCAAAATTTCTTCCTCTTCTTTTGCAATTGCAAATCTTCAACAAAATTTCTTTTTTGTTTTTTTTCCGCAAGTGTCTTATCGCTTTAAATTAAAGTCCGTCGCATACTAAAAAAGTGTGCGATTATCCATGGAAAAAAGTGCAGCGAGCCAGTCAGCCAGCCGGCTAGTTGTTGTTGAGTATACAATTCTCTCTATTGCCAATGTATCGACACTGTATAACAGTTGAGAATATTGGAGTGTATTGATTTGAAATGAAAATTGACCTCTCTGTAACTATGGAGAGAGCTCCCTTGTGCAAAAATATTGCAAAATGTTATCAAATGACATGTTTATAATTTGCTAAAAATTAGCTCCGAAAAAATCTTATTGCGCCGAGAATCGATTTTTAAAAAGAAATCTTCAAATATCAAGGACAGATGTTTTTCTATATACAAAAAAATCTAAAGGAAATAATTTTTTGCTAGAATTTTCTTTCTTGCCCTCCTTTGATCTTTAATGATTTTCAGGCCTTCCGGACTTCAAGTCTTTCTATAATAATAACTTTTTGTATTATATTTCGTGCTCTAAGAAGTATTGGAAATTTTACTCGTCAGAATTTTCTAAGTGTTTGTTGACTAGAAAAGTATACGAAAACACCTAACGTTGGCTGACCAACATCCAAATGTTAATATTCTTATAATTTTATTTTAAGAGAAATGTAGTATATGCGAACGAACATTTACCCCAAGTGACCAATTTTGCATGCAAAATGAGGAATGTATGTCACACAATGTTCGTGTCGTCATGGCCACGCAATAACACAGGTCGATAGAGATTTTTTCTTCACATTTGCACTGAGGGACCTCTGATAGACAGATTTCGTCAACAGATTAGATCAGTTTATAGAATAATATCAGTAATATCACCCAATTTTTAGGGTCTCCTGATGGATGAACTTCAAGTAGGTATAAAAATCGGAAGAAAAATGCTATTTACAATCATTCATAATTTCTGTTATATTGGAAAATAAAATAAGGCAGTGTAATGAGTTTTAAAATTGCTATTTTATATTTGATTTGAGAATGAAAGCAAACAAAGCAAAGGAAAATATGAAAGAATGTGTAATTGTTGTATATAAATGTCATGTGCTTCAAGCATTAAAATTTTTTTAATATTATTTAAAAATTCAAATCCCAATGCTTTTAACAATTGTCGCTTAGTGTAAAAGCACACTATGTTAATGTTATTTAACATTGAGAGCGAGAAAGATAACATAGTCATTAGGGATGACAGATCAATAATTAGTAAAAAAATTATTTATAATTAATAAAAAATAAAATTTATTTATTTTACTAGTTATTTTATTATTTTTATTTTTGCTTATATTAAAAATTTCATATATACAGGCATTAATATACATATATTTAAATTTATAAAAAAAAAATTAAATCACAAAATTTTAGTTTACTTAAATACAGTCGACTTAAGCAGGCTTTAAAGTAACCTAAAAATATGGAAGATCTAATATTTAGATTTGACATTATTTCATAAATTATTGAGACTACACACGAGGGGAATATCTTCTTGTATACTAAGCCCCTGGCGGGAGAAAACTTTTTTCTATTTCAGTTAGAAACGGCCTGTATGTTTTCTCTGTTTCAAAAGTCTTTCGGTTTTCCTAAAGCCGACTGTAAATATGTTCAATAATCGTTGCTTAAATTTGGAGACTTTGACTGCAACAAATTAAATTAATTTCAAAGGCGTTTTGGGCAAAACTTTTACTTCGCCTACAGCATGCACAGCATTTTATTGTCTTTAGGTCTCTACTTGGCCCATTTAACATAATCTCCAAAAACAAAGGGCTTTGTTAAAGTACTGGTATAAGCTGGAATTTGTTTGTTCCTAGAATGGAAATAAAAAAAATTAATATTAAATTTTGGAATAGAAAAAATCGTCAGGCAATAAGGGATAGAAAAATTCTCATATGTTTTTTCCAAAAAAACTTCAAAAGAAACCTTCCAAAGAAAAAACCTTAGTCTCTGAGGATAGATCTTTCATAAGTAACCTTAGAATCAGATGATTAATTTTTTTCTAATAAAAAATCTAAGACACAATGACAGATTGTTTATAAAAAAATTCAGGAGATTTTTCCATACAAAAAATTCCTCAGATACTGAGAACAGATTTTTTCTATTGAAAACCCCAGTTTATAATAACTTGATTTTTCTACAGAAAAAAATCCTCAGGTCCTGAGAACAGTTTTTTCTATATAAAAAATTGTGAGGCCTCTTATTTTTATATAGATTTTTAAAAAAATATTTGTTCAGGGTTCTATCTGAGAGATTTTTTCTATAGACAAAAATTGTTGAGTATTTTTCGTTCAGGTTAATTAAATGACTACTTACATAGATTGTTTCTTAACAAGTAACGTCACGGTCTCCATAATATCTTTAATATTTTTCGTACTACCAAATAGTTTTAGATTCTGGCAAAGACTTTGTATGAATATTGAACCCTTTTCCGTGCGATACGAAACAAAACCTGTAAGATAAATTTTATAAATTAATTAAATAATATTAAAAATTCCATTCAGAACTTACCCTCAAAAGTACTGTAACATTTTAAAATTTCATTAGCACTACCGGGTGGTGTAAACGGGGTAGCATCTGTGTAATAGCCTTTACTCTCCATTGAACCCTTACAGGCTTGTATGAAAAACATTTTTGGTTTATCATTCAAGGTTGTGTTGCGCAATATTGGAAATAGGACATGATCATCGATCGAATAGTGGCCATCTTTGGCGGCAATTTCCTCATGACGATTACCATGGCTTAGGATTACAATAACAAGGCAGGCATATTCGGTAAAGTCTTTGGTTTGAACTAAGGGAGAAGAGAAGAAAGAAAAATCGATTAGGTTAGGTTAAAAATTAAAGTATTTTTATTACTATAGGCTACTTGGGAATAGAACTACTCCTGACCTTAAATTAAATTATTGTATTGACCCCTTTATCCCTCTAGATACATTTTAGCTACTATTTGTAATTAAAAAAGTCACTAGTTTTTTGTTGGGTTTATACCCTAAGCTGGAATTTACTGCCTTCTAATTAGTTTCTCATCTCCCCTACCCTTTTCTTCTTTGCCAATCACCTCTTGACATTTTCCATAATTCTTAAAAATGTGTTTGAATTGTTTAACAACAACCCTCCATAAAATCAACAGAGAACAACTTTCATTATCGATCTCCAATGTGAATCCCCCTTCAAATGGTAAAACAAAAACATTGGATTGTGTTTGGATTTTTTGTTTTTGTTTCACTTTTTATCAGATTCGTTATCATATGTTTTGCTAAAATTTTACGTGTGTTTTTCTGTTGTAGTAGTTGTTGTTGTTCAATTCTAGGAAAACATTTAGAATGTTCGCTACTTGTATTTTTAGACTACTTCTAAACAAATAAAAACAGTAAGAGAAGCAAAATTTATAATAACGGACAAAATTTTATAAAAATAAAAATTTTGGAATTTTTTGAAGTTCAATCACGAAAGAGCATTTTTATAAATTATATTTTTGAGCTCTCTAATATCTGTATGATTTTTTTAAATGTGAAATAAAGAAGTGTAATGTGTTTTAAAATTGATATTTTATATTTGATTTGAAATTGAAAGCAAAAGAAAAACAGATGAACATATTAACGAGTGTGTAATTGAATTGCAGTACGTAAATGTTTCGTGATTGCAATTTTTTAAGGATTTCCAATTTTTTTAAGGATTTTCAAAAAATATTTTTTGAGGTCTTTTATTAAAAAAATAAATAAAATGTTCACAATTGCGATCACTTATGAACCCCACTGTTACTGAAAACGACAAATCCTCCTCATACACCTCTAATCGTGTTATCTTTGTTTGAACACTTGTGCCATTGCATGTGAGTGTGTGTGTCTGTATGTATGACTGTCCAACTTGAATCATAATAATTAATCAAAATCATTTACCCCAGCACCTCAACAAAAATTGATGGTTCGAAAGGGGGTAAACAATAGCCATTTTTTCGATTTTCCAAACTAATTCAACAGATCCGCAAAAAAAATCGAATTGAATTTCAAAATTGTACTTACTTTTTTCAACAGTCTTTTTCACTTTATCCACTTTGGCATTTTCAATAACGGTCACCTTCATTTTATAGAACTCAAATGTTTGGACCAGGGCCTTGACATCTTCGGCACTGCCGATGCGTTCCTCATTGCTGGGATTATCGAAAACGACATTATTGAAAATATAGGCATAGCCGGGTTTTAGACGAGGTCCCGTTTCAATTTTGCCATTCGAAGGCGTTGTTGCTGTTGTTGTAATGGGTCTTGAGTTTAGGAAGGAGCTGCTAAACGAGGGTGAGGTCGTTGTGGTGGTTGTCCTTGGAAAGGAGCTAAATAAAGGAGAGGTAGTTGTTGTGGTGGCGGCTGTCCTTGAAAAGGGTTTGGCATCAGCCTTGGCTGTAGAGGAACTTGGACCACTCCATGAACTAAAAAGTGATCCTGGTTTAGTGGTGGAGGATGTAAGAGTACTACTACTTGGTTTCTGGGTTATTCTACTGCTGCTGCTGATGGATGAGATCGGTTTGGAGGTAGTCGAAAAAGTCAGGGAAGTAGTTGTGCTACTGGGTTTACTGTTACTATTTGAATTTAAAAATGATAATTTCGATGCCGTTGTTTTTCCCAAGGCGGATGTTGTAGAGTATTGTTTATTGCTATAGGGAGAGGTATAGGAACTTGTGCCAGAGGAGGCGGGTTTTTTCAAAGCACCACCTAAAGACGACGAAGAAGAAGATGTTGTTGATGGTGCCGGCAATGCAGGCAACCTGAAAGGCTGGGCATCCCTTGTGGTAAAACTATCTTCACCCATATAATTGCGGGTCAATGGCGAATTGGGTGTCGACAGCTTAAATGTCTTCGGATCCAATTTGATGCGATGCTCCTCTACACGCTGTGTTATGGTACGACCATTTTTCTCCGACACTGTTGTTGTTTGGGTTTTCACCAGTGTCGGTGTTGTTGGTGTTTTAGGGCCATCACCACCACCACTACCTGGCTGTGACTCATAGCTGAAGATAAGACGTGAAACCGGTGAAGCGGCCGTATTCTTAAATTTCGGTGTACTTTTGTTGTTCAGACTATTGATGGAATTTCGTGATGTAGACGGCAAGGCTGGCAGGTTACTGGGCCGATTACGACGCAGCGGAACACTTGAAGTCGTCGACGTTGTTGTGAAAGTTTTTGTTTCGGCTTTTTTATTCATTGCCAGCAGACGCATCATTTCCTCCAGCTCTTGTGGGGTGGGAGTCCGCCTGGTGGTGATTTCCGTAATGCGCGCCGTTTGCCGCGACGTTACCGTCTGTTTGGTCGTTTGAAATGTAATCGTTTTGGCATTATTATTGAAAATCGTTGCATTCTGTGTGGTCGTGTTGCTCGTTTCCGATTGGGCGGATGTGGTCTTGACCTTTGTACGAGGATCTTGTTTTACCAAAGCCTTGCTGTTCATTGTGTTCTCCTGCTCCTCAGAGTCGTCATTGGATTTATTCGATTTTCCCCAACTCCACTTCATCAATGTAGTATTTTTTTCAGAAATTATTTAATAAAATAACCCGCTCTTCTACTTCACAAATCACTTTGAATGTCAAACCAATTAATTTATTTTCTTTTTTTGTTGTTCTAACTTTGTGTGTCTTTTTCTTTTCAATTTACTCAGTTGGTTGTCAGTCACGATCGTTTGTGTTTTGTGTACTACTCCGTTGCTGTCTTGCGAAATACTAAATTGACAACAGAAGAAATTCCCCTTGCTCAATCAGGCAACGACCACCTTTCTTACTCCCACCGAGAGAGAGAGAGTGAGCGAGTCAGTCAATCACAACAAAGGGGGCTTTGGCTGCATTCTCACAGCCAGAAACAGGTATGAAATGACACGCACACACTCACACTCGTTCATCAGATAAAATTTCTGATGTCAAATAACCGTAATTTGGCAAATCAATTAGACCTTCACTGTGGGGTGTGTGTGTCACCCAATTTAGACGGTGATTGTTTGGGGGCAAACTCTCCTTTCTTTCTTTTCTCCCCATTGGACTCTCACTCTCATTGTATGGTGTTTATAAGAGGGGATGAGGAGTCATGAATTTCTTTTATCTAGAATCGTTTATTTCCTCCAATATCTTTGTTGTTGTCAACATTATTACTGCAGTCATTTTGTTGTTGTTGTACTCTCTCTCTTTCACGCTCGCTCACGTTTTTTCTTTGTTTTGTTGGGGAAAACATTGTTTTTATTATTGTTTATTCTGCGAAATCTTCAGCATTGTCACCTATTGATTGCAAATGATTATCGTGGTGTTTATTAAACATGATTTTGTTTGTTTATTTCTTAAAAATAATTTTTGGATTTTTTTTAAATTTTGATGTCTCTAATTTTTCTAAGGATTTTTTTAAAATATTTTTTGAGCTCTCAAACATAGGCTTGTATTAAAAAAATAAATATTTTTGAGATCTCTAATTTTTCCTTGGGTGTGGATTTTGAAAGTGGAAGTGGATTTTTTAAATAATATTTTTCAGGGTTATATTTTTTGTACAGATTTATTTTAAAAAATGTTCTGATGTCTTTCAACTCTTCTATTGGTTTTGTAAAAATATGTTCTGAGATCTCCAATTTTTGTATGGATTTTTTAAAATTATTTTCTGGGGTCTCTAATTTTTCGATGGATTTAAAAAAATATATATTTTATGAGTGTCTAATTTCTCTATGTTTTTTTAATAAAAGAGCGAAGGAAATACAAGAAGTCGCTCATTAAGCAATCTCCATTCAAACACGATACATCGTATCGATCTGATAAGATTGCTCAAGGTAAGGATAAATTACCTAAAGTAGCTCATTAGGCAATCTCCATTCAAACACGATACATCGTATCCGTCTGATAAGATTGTTCAGAGCCGTTTTGCAGTTGTCCAACGTAGCCAACGTTCCATCGTCGACCGGCGAGATTCCTGCTTCAGTAACGCACAACGAGAAATCTGTTATATTGGCGCCCTACGTGGAGCTTGCTACAGTGGCCCACACCGAGGACCCTTTTACATTGACGTCCAACGTGAGACCTGTTTCAGTGACGCCCAACGAGGGGTCCGTTTACATTGACGTCCAACGTGGAACTTGTTTCAGTGACGCCCTACGAGAGGTGTGTTACATTGACGCACAACTTTGGACATCTTCATTGACAGTCAAGGAGAGGTTTTATACAAATAGTTTTTGTGGTCTCTAGTTGTGTTATGGCTTTTTTTTTAATATTTCCAGAGGTCTCTAATTTTTATATGTATTTTTAAAATAATTTTCTGAGGTATCTAATTTTCCAATGAAGTCTTTAATTTCTCTATGAATTTTTAAATAGTTTTTGAGGTGCCTAAAATATGATCTAAAGATCTATTTTCTTTGCTCATAAAAATCCTTTGAATGTGAAGAGAATGTGACAATTACACACCTACACATAAACATTCCCATTACCTAAGCGTGACTGGACGGCGACAATATTTCATTAGGCAATTTACTCCTAATTACAAATTAATCACCTTCAGTTCAAGCGTCTCAGTTCTACAGTTTTAATTATTATCAAAAAAACATTCCCTCTTTTTACTTATTTTCGTTATTATTATTTCAAAGAAGCACCCTAATATACCCACTCTTTATTGCAAAATATTCTCAAGATACACACTCATCCTTTTATTATGCCTACGCATTGTCCCATTTAAATTTCAATTTCCTTAAAAATGCAATATGCAGGCGACACACACCACTCACACCTACACATCAACAACAACACAACAAAATGTAAGTCTCTCTCTCCTTCTCTGGTTGGTGTTACAACACAAAGGGAAAGACGTCTTTTTCATTCCAATTGTCATGATCTTTTTGATGACACACACAGACAGACAAACACCACACCAAATAACCCAAACAACGTCAAGTTCAACGACTTTGTTTGTTGTTTTGTTATTGTTGTTGTTGTGACTGTTGTTATGATGAAATGCATTGTTGTGCTGAGAGACAACAATGGATCGAACTCTCGTGTCAAGCAGCACTCGGGAGTATTTGTGTCATTGTCGTCATTCTTTCAAGGAAATTCCGTTAAGTTTTGTTTTTGCAACAGCAAAAAAGAGGCGCCAAAAATGACGCACTTGTTCTGTTCTTTCGAATTGGAAGAGGTATACTCATCGATTGAAATTAGGGAAATTGTCATTCCATAGGGAACATTTAAATGGAATTATAAAAAAGTGGGCCATCCATCGGCCTGGTAATTGAAAGAAAATCAAATTCTTCGAAGGCAATTAATTTTCGGAAGAAAATATGCAGTTTTGTCGACAAATTAAATTATTTTTCTATAAAATTATTTTTTTCCGCTCTTCATAGATCATTTGAACTTCGTGGAACTGGACATTGTTTTCTTTTTTAGAAGAAATATGCTGACTGTCGGCATAAAATATGCTCCCATTATATAGATCACCAATATTATTTGGATTCCGTTCTATTTATTTTGGGATATTCAATGAAAAAATAATTATTTTTAGATAAATGATCTGATTTTTTTATCATAATGAATCGGAAGTTATGTCGTCAATTCTAAAATATAATATCCATATCCTGCTCATAAAATTTTCCATAACAAAATCTGAAAATGGTTACCCTATGCCATTGATAACCTTACGGATTCTATGTTTGAGATCTTGAAACGACAATTTTGCTTGTTGACGTAGATACTGAGGTAGAAATGAGTCTCAATATAAGTCGGAATCATGTTCATGTATTTCAAGGACTACATAAGCAAAAACACGACACTATTGATGATAGGCCGAACAAACGGCTTGGAGAAGCATTTCAAAAACTACTCTTAAATTTTCAGAGCCTCAGAAGCCACGATTTTGCTTGAAGACTTGTGCGGCAGGGTTCTAAAGAGCCTCGATACAATTCAGGATCATTTTCTTGCATTTCAGGAACCAAATCAGCAAAAACCATGACAAGTTCATGATCGGCCGGATACAAATCTTCAATTTCGATTAATATTTTGACCTAACTCCCATTAAAAGTTCCGCTTCGTTTTCGGTATTTTAAAGGTTCTAGCCGAATTTTCCAGCCAAAGTGACTGTAACTTGGCACTTGGTTCCGCTTCGAATTTGGTATTTTTAAGGTTCTAGAGGAATTTTTCAACCAGAGTGTCTGTAAATTGGCATCCTGGGGTCTTGAGGACTGAAAATATTCAGAAAATCTTTAACATAAGTCCATGTTTTAATTATCTCCGATGTAAGGGTCCCTCCCGTTTTTAGAGTTTTGATAATTCTAGGTGCATTTTCCAATCCAAGTGGCTGTAATTTTGAGTTTCCTCCACTTTGAGGATAAATAACTTTTTTTGCAAAAAATTTTCAATTTCGTTCCATACTCTGACATGGCGCCCAAATGAAGGTCCTTCCCGTTTTAGGGGTTTTAACTGTTATATGTTAATTTTCCAACTCAAGTGGCTGTATTTTAGAGTTTCCGATACTTGGAGGATAAAAAAATTGCAAAAAAATCAATTTAGTTTCATACTTTGACATGGCGCCCAAATGAACGGCGCATTTTACAACACAATTTCCGCTTCTTAGAGGATAAAAAATACAAAAAAAAAAACAATTTAGTTTCATTCTTTGACATGACGCCCAAATGAAGGCCCTTCCGGTTTTAGGGGTTTTCCAAGCGCATTTTCTAACCTAAGTAGCTGTAAAGTGGCATTTACGGTTCTCCGTTTGACATGGTGCCCAAATGAAGGTCTCTTCCGTTTTGACATAACAGCCAATTTTTCTATAATTCGATGCGACAAAGATTCTTCACGTCGAAGCAAATTCTAATTTACAACTTTTTTACAGCTTAAAGCATCAACATCTATTTCTGATGCATCTACCTTGTTAAATCCACCTTCAACTCACCTCTTAGCTGTTATCCTGCTTCCCTTATCCATTTTGCAAACCGAATTCCTTCCTAATTCCAATCCCAAATGGTGTTCCACATGTTAAGCACCATAAATACCACACTAAATTTATCGAACTACATAATCACAAAATCATTTGACAACTGAACTGAAAAATTCCGTATACCAATAAATTCCCGCATAAATTAAGACCTACCTCAAATCGAAAATAAAAAAACCGAAAATCGTTAAGGTAAGTAGGTTAGCGTATGTACGTACCTACATACCAATAAAAATTAAACATACAAATTAATGCGACTGCGTAAAGTACTACAGCTAACTGACCTTAACCTAAATTTAAGGAGGTTTTGTGTTCATTGCCTTCCCTTTTTCAAGTATTTTTCGTGTCCACCCCACCCAGGCCACCTAAGTAAGGTAGTACATTACATAAATAATAATTATTTTTTTAATTGATTTTTTTTGGGCAGTTTGATGACTTTTCACAGAACACCCCCTGCCACTTGTCGTCACTTGGTCACTCTGCATATGAATTTTTAATCGAGAGCCAGTAGCCGGCTGACTGGTCACGCACGTCCCCAAAAAAATAATGCTATTTAAATACGTGCTTGTCATTTCATTGCAAATGATTGACCATTTCTTTGAGTTGTTGTTTTGGAAAAAAACTGTTACACTGTCCACAGGGATTTTGAAAAAAAAAATTGCCAAGATTTCAGAAAAAATATTTTGAATTTTTAATGACCAACCAAAATTTATGAATAGGTGTTTTGATGTTTCAAGAAATATATGTTTGACAAGTCAAATAAATTCCTTGTCCGAAAACAAAATAACAATTTTCACGAATATTTGAAATATCCACGTAAGGGAATAAATTACTCATGATAGGGAAAAAACTCCCTAGGAGAATAAATTTCCCACGAGAAAGATTAAATTATTCACAAATGTGATGAATTCCCCTCTATAGAGGCGAATAGACGAGCTGAAGCGAGTCTTTCATAGACGAGCTGAAGAAAGTCTCTAGATACGAGATGGAGGGTGTCTTTATAGATGAGCTGAAAGTAGTCTCTATAGTAGGGGTGTACAAAGAGAAAATGCTCGGAGAATAAACCGCCATATGAACTGACTTACTAAAAGAGAATTTCTACGAGTATATTGATCCATGTACTAGGGCACTAGATCCCATGCTGGCCCAGCACTACTCTATAGAGACTACTTTCAGCTTTAGGGAGTCTCTATGGAGCTGTTAGGAAGACGAGTATAAAGACGATTGGTAAAGAGTACCTCTAGAGACTGGAGAAACAAGGAGCTGAAGGGAGTCTCTCGAGACAAATCTGTATGCTCCAACTGAAGTAGTCTCTATAGAGACCTCGGAAGCAATGAACTGAAAGGAGTCGTCTGAAGTCAGGTAGTCTCAATAGAGACTCCCTTTAGCCCAATAGAGGTGTAAATGGACTAAAGGGAGTCTCTATAGATGGCCTAAAGCCAAAAAACTCTGTTGTCACTCTGCTATCGAAAAAATGTCTACTACTCCTAGAAGATTGGGAATTAAAAATAGAATATATCGACCCATGGTTGCGCTCCTATTTGGGTATATTGAAGGTTCTAGCCCTATTGTCCAATCAAAGTGTAATTTGACATTCTAAGGGAGAAGAAAAATATTTTTACCGAATGTGACAAGGCTTCCATATTAATGTCCCGCCAGAGATTAGATATTTTGAAGGTTCTAGATGTATTTTCCAACCTATGTGGCTGAAGAGAGTCTCGATAGACGAGCAAAGGCATATGATATAAAGCCGAGCTTTTTCCAAAGAGAGTCTCTACAAGCATGATAAAGGCAGTCTTTTTTGACGATTTAAATTTAGTATCTCAGGAGGCCTGAACAAGGACTATAAGATAGTGTGGAACAGAATTAAATTGAGAGCAAGTGTGTGAGAGCGTAAGTGAGAGATAATCATAAAAAATGACAGACCAAAAGAGAGTACTATTTTGTAGATTAGTGCTTTCAGAGATCGTGTGCTTAAAGAGGTCCCATTGAGGGACTTCTGTCTTTAGAATATCACCATAAGGACCTCTAGCTGTTCAAGACCTCTTCTACTTTTTATAGACCCCTGTTTTAATTTGTATTTTTATATAATAAATTAAACCAAAAATAGATATATTTTTTAAAATAATTTATTTAAACAAATCGTTGTTGTTGTTATTATCACTCCCTAGGCTATCACAAAAACAATAAAAAAATTATAACAAATTAAAAAACAAAAACAAATTATTAATAACAAATAAAGCTTTACAAACTTAGCTACAGGGCGGCTAAGTAGGGAAAGTTACGAAAGGAGGAGGAAGAAATAACAATTCAAGGGGGTGGGTGGGGGATTATGAACATAATTTAAGTTATGGGATATATGTGCGGGGGTCGTGGAGAGGTAGTAGTGTGGTTAAAAAACTATTTACAAATAGACCACAATGTGGGGGTGGGGCGGAGGGATTGTCACTTAGAACTTCTCAGCTGGTGGTCCGTATTGTTCGGCTGGTACAGCTGGTGGTGGTCCGTATTGTTCGGCTGGCTTGTTTTGTTGCTTGTACTTAATGAAGTATACCTCAGGTTTGCTGGGTTCAGTGGGTTGAGGTGTGGGCAATATGATGGGCTGTTGTTCTTCGGGTTTCTTAACCAAGACATAGACCAAAGTCTTGTGTTCATCCTGCACGGGTGGTGGGAGGACTTGACGCACTGGGGCAGGTGGGTTGGGAGCCTTGATGAAGATGATCTTGTAGTGTTTCTTGGGCACAGCAGTTTGGATGGGAGCTGGGGCGGGATACGATTCGGGCTCCTCTGGTGGCACATGTACATAGACGTTCTTAGTTACCAGGGTCTCGGCCACGGGTGGTCCATAGAAAGGAGCTGGAGCACCATAGACGGGTAAAGGTTGAGCTGATGATTGGGTAGGTGGCGGGCCATACTGTTCAGCAGGTTTGGGTGGCAGGTATTCCTTTTGGGGGGCGGGGGGAGGTCCGTAACGGCTTTTGGGAGGCTCAGGGCGAGCGGCAACAATGGCCAGGGTACAGGCTAACACAATGAACAATTTCATTTTGATTTGATTTTTTTGTTTTGGTTAATCCCGAGAATTCGTTGTTTGTTCTGCAATGGGTAGTGATGTTGTGATATCTCTAACCACCTCGTTCGGGGATTATATACTACAACGGAAGTTTGAAAATGTTCAATATTTCTCTACGCATTTGGTTATTACATATTTTTGGTTTGTTTTTGTTATTTTTGTTTTATTATTGTTTTCGTTTTCGATTTCGTTTTGTCGGACACGAGTTGCCAGCCCATCGTGGCTCTGGTGGGGTGGTTGTCTCACCTGTCATGAGAGTCTATTTTTGGGATTTTTTTGATTTTTTGCATAATTTCTCAAATCAAAACTTCGTGGCTATTGATCGATTAATCGCAATACGAGCAATCGCACGAACGAGCAAACGAACGAACGGTGAACACGAACTTTTAGCAAGCTGAGCCAGCCAGCCAGAGCTGCTAATAAAAATGCTCGCCTCGGCTTACGAATAATGTCTGTACGAGTTCGGCATACTAATCGAGTAATCGTTTTAGCAAAACGACAACCGCTAGCCTGTGGCCGGCCGGACCAGATTGATGACAAAATGCAATAACCATTTATGTATGTAAATGACTGCATGCTCGGCTCTCCTGGTCAGCCGGACTGACTGAATTTTGTGTGGGGGGTGGAGGTGTATAAAATTGTTTGTCATTTTTGTTGCCAAAAATGTTAACCGGCTCTCCATAAATGTTGTGTGTGTTGCTGTGTTACAACAAATTATGTAATAATAATTACTGTTGACTTTTTTGTTGTTGTTATCGTTCTTCGTCTTCTTCTCGATAAAACAGCAATGCAAATATTTAATGTTTTTGTTTCTTTCTTTGCTTTAGTTTTGGCAGATTTTTACAGCTCTGCCGTCATGGTGTCAACAATTAATGCCACCGAGTGTGAAAAAGCTTTGGGTTACTTTTGTAATTTTCTTGGCACCTGCAGTGCGGAATATGCCTCGGCTACCAGTGCAATTGTTTAATTTGTCCAGTGTAAACATCAGAAATTAACCTGTCCGATTTGTTGATGTCTTTCTGTCTGTCTTGCGAATCGATAACATCTTGATGTGAGAAATAAGGATAACATCTTGAAGTGGGTTAAATTAGTGGGTCGCACAGTAGTCGGAGAGGTAAACGATTTATACATATCTTAAGGGAGTTGGATCACCATCGACGGGTAAAGGTTGAGCTGATTATTGAGTAGGTCTCAAGCCATAGTGCTCCAAAGATTTGGGTGATAGGTTTTCCTTTTGGGAAGCTGGGAAAGGTCCGTAACAGCGTTTTAATACGTTTTGTCAAGAAGTATGTTACTTTTTAGGAAATCTAAAATTCGTACTTTCAGTCATATCTATCACAAACTAAGCACCCGAAATGCCAAAATACATCCACACTGGTTGAAAATTTGTCTAGAAACCATCAAAAAATCCTGAGATTTTCTACACACGTATTTTTCAATCCTCCTTGGTGAGGAGTCGAGGTCTACCTAAATTTCTGCCTTTCTATGGGACAAGCACCCTGTTGATAACTCAACTCCACATCGAGCCGAAGATCGATGTGGTCATAGTCTTACGGACAGGACTCCTCGTCCAGGCACGTCAGGAAATATGTTCATGATCTAGAGAGAGAGAGAGAGAGAGGTCCAAAGATATAAACGTTAACCCCTAGAACAAGAAGCATATCAAGCAGATCTGAATGGTATTCACACGGACGCAGTCGTTCAGGCAGTAGAGCAATACCCTGTGAATACCATAATCGGCGCAGAGGAGAAGCAGCTTGCCAAACAAACACGAGTAGTCGTAGCTCAACTAAGATCAGGATGGTGCAACCGCCTCAATTCTTATTGGGTATGAATTGACGGCTCGATACTTAGCATATGCCCTGCTTGTAGACTAGGACCACACGACACGTTGCACCCCTTTAACTGTCCAGCTAAGCCGAATAAACATTTTTTTAATTTAGAGATAGGAGAAGCAGTAACAGACAATGAATAACCTATCACATGTATTTTGTTGCTACAACAACAACACCAACCTTTAATCCTATAAAGGCTCCGTTCAGCTCAACCATAAATATTCCCTCAAGTTTACCTTTAGCTTGCCTATAAACCTCCCTTCAGCTCGTCTATGAAAGACTTCCTTCAGCTCGAATAGGTCACCTTTGTTCTTTTTTTAAAGTAATAAAATAGTATTTAAACTTTGAATCCATGTTTTCGGATCTCAAAAACATAATCATAATTTTATTTAAATATTTTCATTACACTTAATATTTTTTTTTTTTTTTGCTTTTACAACATCAGTTTGTTTTTTTTTAATTTTATTTATTTAATACATGCTTACATAATTGCTACATTAGTTGTCTTTGGATTTTGTTTCATTTAAATTTTCAAATAAACATTTTCATCTTTTTTTGTTTAACATTTAAATTCATATATCTTTAGTTGTTACTTAAATACTTTGAGGGGGCGTGGGGCTTTTGTTCGAAATTTCTATTTAAATTTATGACGGTTTAGAAACAAAAAATTATGTCAGGGGGGTCAGGATTTATTTCTGGCTAATTCTAATATATATTTTTTTCATTTTGTGTTAAATAAAAATTATTTTATTTTCATTATTTCATAATTGTATAATTCGCAGGTGTTTAGTTTTATTTTTTATTATATATTTAAATATTTATTTTTGTTTTGTTTTGTATAATATTGTTATAATATTTTGTTAAATGTCTTCATTTGTTTTTTTTATTTTAAATAACTCAGTTCTTTTGCGCATTTTTAGTGCTTTTAGGTTGATTTTGGTTTTTAGTTTTTTTTTTCTTTTTTCTGGGGGCTGTATCTTTCGCCTATGGGTGTATGGGTGTGCGAAATCAACAGCAGGAAAAATAGGTAAAAACTTATTTATATTCTTCTTTAAATGATATTTCTACTTGTTAAGTATGTTTGTTGTTGTGATTTTACACAATTTTTACTAACTACCAAAAATCAATTGGAGACCTGTTTTTTATTGAACCAAGGATTTTGATATTTTTTCTACTATATTTGACAAAATGTTGTGGAGGAGGGTTTACCTCAGCTCTAGAAGCTAAGGACAAATATTTAGGGGTCTCTATCTCAAACATTTATCTATCTCTTATAATATTTCCTTCAAAAAATATTTTTTTAATAATCATCGAATTAAAAACTAATTTTCAGAACATCACTAAAGAAAACTCAGAATCTCAGAAACCCGAAAATTCGCATTTTATTAAAAATAGTTAAATAAAACTGTACCTTATCATTTTTAATACTTCTCTTACATTAAATCTGAGTATTTTTCTACTATCCTCCTGATATATAGAAGTCTTTAAAATAATAATCCATATTCTCAAATTTATACCTCTGGTCCCTTACAAATACTCATCTATAAAGACACCCTGAGCACGTCCATGAACCTCATCATAGAAATCGTCAATAAAGCTCGTCTGTAAAGACTCCCTTCAGATCGTCTATAAAGGCTCCCTTCAGCTCGTCTATGAAAGACTCCCTTCAGATCGTCTATAAAGGCTCCCTTCAGCTCGTCTATGAAAGACTCTCTCTCCAGCTCGTCTATAAAGACTCCCTTCAGCTCCATTCGCTCGTCTAAAACATACCTCCAACAGCTCGTCTGAAAATACCTACAGCTCCTATTTACAATTCGACTATAAATATTTTTACAGCTCGTCTATAGAGACGCACTTTAGCTCGTCAATATTAGTCAAAGATCTATAGGGAGTCTATAGATGGACTGCAGATAATTCTTAGTACTCACTTTTACTTATTTTGAAAGAATACCTTTTGATCGTCTAAAAAGGCTTACTCCAGGCCATCTATAAATCCTACATTCAGCTAATCTATAAAATCTCTCTATAGACTCTCAATACATCGTCCGTTCTTCTATCAAGACTCCCATTCTCCTGTCTCTCAAAACTCCCTTTCGCTAGAAAGACTCCCACCAGATCGTCTATGAAAGACTCTCATCAGCTCGTCTAAGAAAGACTCCCTTCAGCTCGTCAATGAAAGTATCTCTTCAGCTCTTCAATTAAAGAGTCCTATCAGCTCGTCTATAGAGACTCCCTTAACTCACGTTTAAGACTCCCTTCAGCTCGCATTTAAATACTCCCTGCAACTCGTCTAAAAAGACTCATTCAGTTCCAGACTTCCATTCAGCTTCCTCCCGCTCTGCTATAAAAACTACGTTTAACTCGTTCACAAAGGTTCACAAAGATTACCTACAGTTCTCGTGTAATTATTCCCTTCAACTCGTCTATAAAAACTCCCTTTCACTCACCTGGAGATCGTCTAAAGACTAGCTTCACTCAAGACTCAATTTAGCTCGTCCATAAATAAAATCCATTCAGTTCGACATCTATCAATTCTTTTTTCGCCAGAGCATTCATTTTAAGTTTTTCCATCTCATTTCATTGTGATTTTCTCTACCTCTGTTTAGACATGCCTGTTTAGAAAGAATAAACTCTATATTCAGGGTTACAACAATCCCTACTTTGGCTATTTAATCACCTATCAAATGAAATCGTATAGTATAAGTACACCTTATTGTTGAAGCCATTAAACGTCCTTCACACTGAACAAGTTTTAGAAATCTAAAAACTAATTTTTTATGGGAGTAGGGGACAAAATCACATAATTTACACTGTCATCTGAATTGTATATCTGTCAAAATAAATTATGCACTTTCATAATTGTTTTTCATTCAGTTAATTTCAAATTGCTATCATTATGACAGCTCCATCAGCTGACAACTGTTATAATCATTCTGACAGCTCAAATATGGATCAACTGACAACGACAAAAGGTTAAAATGTAAAGTCCGTGAATCAGCTGACTATCATAATAACTGTCATTCTGACACCTCCACCAGCTGACAACTGTTATACAAATTGCTGTTTGGATTTTCCTTAAAGTTATATCCAAATATAAATTATTCTGACAGCTCAAATATGGATCAGCTGACGCCGATAAAAGAATAACATGTGAAGTCAGCAATGCAGCTGACTATCCGATTAACTGTCAAAGTGTATAGTTTCTAATTGAAATCGATGTGCAATGTTGCCAACCATGAGAAATTTACAACAAAAATTTGACAGATTGTCGAAAAAAGAACAGATGTTTTTGTTTTGGTACATCTCTTTATAATTGCATTATGGATTTTCATAAGATTATTTTTAAATTGAAACCGTTTTGACAGCTCAAACGGGGAACAGCTGACTCTCTATTTTGAGTATTCTGAGATTACAGTTATTTTGTCTGTGCTTACATTCAGGCAATGTTTACATATACCTTATTTAATTAAAACTAGTAATTTAAATTGTCAATTTCTTAAATTATTCTTTGAATAAATGACATACTTTAATAAAACCTCTGTGAATCGTTCAGAAGTGACAAAATAATATATTTCCAACAAAAAAAGGATTCATTTGCTTCAAGTCCATGAATTATAATACTTCTTCTTCTTTTTTTCTTCATCTTAAATATCTAAACTACTCGTTTAATAAATCTTGGCTACTAAACTAAACCAAAGACATTTATACCTTCTGCTTCTTCCTACTTCATCTATATCTCTTAAACAATTACAAAAAAAGATACACCACAACATTAAATAGATAGTTTACGATACAGATGAGTTATCCTCATTATCATTACCCTGATACAGTTTACGTTCACGACATTCCAAAATGGCCCACACAGCCAGTGGGAGACAACCCAATACCATACAGGAACCCATACAATAAAATACAATAACATAACTACCCGATAAATCACGTAAAAATCCAGCCAACGGTGGAACCGATATGGCACCGATCGATTGAAACATACGAACGAGGCCATAACTGGAGCTGATGCGATCGGTACCAAAGATATCGGCTAATAAGACAGGCATCAGGACATACCAACTGCCCAAACAAAAACCATAAATTGCCGCCGACAAACCCACCAAATAGATGGTGTATTCCGAGGGTATGGTGAGGACAGATAAACCGGCGCCAAAGATGCTGCAATAGGAAATTATTTTATTTTAAAAATACAAAAAAGTCACGATCTGAAATTACTTACCACACAATATAGATCTTCCTGCGATCAAATAACTGCAAATCTGAAAGCCAGCCCAGACCCAACCGGCCAAACAAATCCAAAACGGCACTGACTGTGACCAAATAACCAGCTTCACTTTTATTATAACCTATAAAGAAAAACAAAATCAGCTGTTTCTAAGATTTACTCAACAAAAAATCTCTACTCACCAATCGATATAACATGAGCGGGTAAATAGTACAGCATATAAGGACATCCCACCGACATCAAGGTCACCGATAAACACATCAATATAAATGTCGGATCTTTCAATAAGCTTATATCCAAATAGATTTCAATACGTTCATAACACGTTAAAGGAGCATCATCGTCCACCTCCTCCTCTTCCAATGAATTTATACCAATAATACTACCATTTTGTGGATTTTCCGATGATTTTTGTTCACTCATACTACTAATCGGAGTGGGTATTTCCATGCTCTTACTCAGGCCGCGGGTGACAACTGTTGGCGGCGATAGCGGCTTTTCTAAATGTGCCTGAATTTTCGATATTATCTCATCATTGGCAAAGACATTGCGACGACGTCGTGAAGCTCGATTTGATTCGGTACCTGAGTTTTTGCGATACACCCAGGTTGAGGTGGTACTTAGATCTTCAACGGAATGCATTATACCGGAACTGCGTACCTTTTTCATCGGCTTAATGAATGTAGTTTCACCGATAATATCTTTAACTTCATCATCGCTCTCCTGAGCACCACAATTAGGAACAGATTTTTCAGAAGCTAAACAAAAGAGAGAGAGAGAGAGAAGAGGAGAATTTTGTAAATAAAATATTGAATTTATAAATTGTGGAGTGACAATCTATAAAGCAAAAATTAAGGTAAATGGCGCCCAAACAAAGAGAATGGGTTGACATCCCATGAATCCCTGGAAAACAAAATGAACTTGACTCAACCATTGAAATCCGGAGGAACGGGGGAAGAATAATGAATGGCGCCCAAACCGAATTTATGTGGAGACCACCGACATCAAATCCTTAGGAGACTTGGTTCATAAGGTTTAAGAAGGGCTAGGAGTGAGAAAAAAGGGGGGAGTGGAGAGATGAGAGGGGGCATCTTATGGCCCCTGGAAAGCAAAATGAATGTGGCGTAAAAACTAAAATCCTGAAAAGTTAATCACGGACCAATGGCGCCCAACCTGAATGTATTTAAAATCCAACAGCGAAGCCTTGGAGAATTAATTGGAATTAGGATAAGTTGAAGGCAGGCTTGGTTGGAAGAGGCGATATGAAGACACCCTGCGATATCTCTAGCAAGCAAGACAACGTATCGGAATCACATCCGGTTAAACTTCGAAAAGAAAGAGCTCATACAGAGTTTGAGGTTGGAGGCTGAGAATGGACCACGAGCAATAAGAGAAGATTTGGGGTTGAGGAGAGGGGGAATTTCGAAGTAGAATATTTTAGAAATTGCCGTGTGTCATCTTATGGTCCCTGTAAAGCAAAATGAACCTGGCGTAAAAACTGAAATCCCGAAAAGCAAATCCAAGGATAAATGGCGCCCAATTAATTAGGGATACGTTAAAAGCAGGCTTGGTAGGAAGAGGCGATATTTAGACACCCTATGATTTCTAGAGCAATCACTGATACATATTTGAAACACAGCGTATCGGAATCACATCCGGTTAAGTTACGAAAAAAGAGTTCATATAGAGTTTGAGGTTGGTGACTGAGCACCATGGAGCTAGTAGAGATTTTATGGTAAAATTACGAAAAGAAGGAGCTTATGAAGTGCTTCAGGTTGAATGTCGAGCAATAGGAACTAGTAGAGATTTTGTGCCGTGGCGAAACATCGCGAGAAGTTAATCAATGATAAATGGCGCCCAAATAAAATGTATTTAAAAGCCGATGTCTTGGGGAATTAATTGGAGTTAGGGATAGACCTAGACCTGAGTTATTGCACGATGCTGTAGATTTGGTTTCTTAGGTGTTCGAAGCTGATGTTTTCGTTTTAAATGTCCGCAAAGGTACGTACAGTACGGTGAGTAAGAAATGTAACATATGAATATCATAGAAAAGAGAGTGCCGTGACTTAAGAACTGTAATTCGCGGAAGTTAAACAAGTGTTAAGAAATTTCAGAATGTATATAAAAAATATTTCATACACATACATTTCTTAAATTTATTTTTTAAATTTTCCAAAACTTACCATTATAACGATTATTATAATAATCATTCAGACGATTTTTAGACTCCTCCATAAAAAGATGTTCAATAAATTTCGTATTCAGCCCGTCATCGCAGGTATCCAAATACGTAGAATTTGTCAACATATCAATGTTGCTAGGATTTATATCATTCAACGGTTTGGTGGCATCTTCTTCCTCGCCCCTTACCTTCTCATCATCGTTTTGCATCGATTCCAGTGGGCGATATAGCAACGCCGATAAACAAACATCGAACATGCAGAAACCCAATATTAAAATTGTACCATGGAAACCAAAATTCTCCGCCAGATGTTTAATTAGAACCGGTAATATAAAGCTGCCAGTTGCGGTTCCCGACACGCAAATACCATTTGCCAAAGCGCGATGTTTATCAAAATATTGCGATACGATGACAATTCCAGGTGTTGTAGACAAACCACCACCAATGCCAGTCAATATGCCAAACGTGAAGAGTAAGTGGACCAGACTGGTGGCAAAATAACTCAAAGTCATGCCCAGGGCACAGAAGAGACCGCCAACAAATACCACAGTGCGGCAAGAAAATCTCTGGCAGAGGGCACTTGAAACCGGAGCCAATGCCAAACACAACGCTGACAAGATGGCCGGAATCCATGAGGCCACCGTAGCTGTTGAACTGGGGAATGTTTCCATAATCTCTACATACAAAACGCCATACGATTTCACCAGACCAGCTACCCAAAACTGCACCGAAAAAGCTCCGAAGACAATAAACCAACCATAACCACCATCCGGCGGATCGGTACTAACCGAGGAACGTGATGACGGTGGGTGACCGGAATTAGCACGATCTCGTGCACTCGAGATACTGGAAATGCCACTGGGTGCCTTCTGGACACCCCCACCACTTTTCGACTTGCCACGCTTTCCACCACGTTTATCCGTGCCATCGCATCCATTCCGATGCGAACGTATTTCACGGGATTTGGCTATTAAAGGCCTTGCCGTAATGCTGGATACCGTTAACAGGTTTTCATTGTCGTCCTCTTCGATTTCCGATATCTGATGTTCCAGCAGACTGGCGTGCAGGGTACGGCTAGCCGGTGCCGGGCAATAGGGTGTCTCAATCGGTAGGGAGACGGGACGCCGGGGTATTGTTGATGTCGCTGAGCCGGGTGCCGATGCGGCAACCTCACTAATCGATACCGCCGAATGCGTTGACATGAATGGGTTTTGGGCACTACCGCCCATTTGTAGACCGAGTCCCGGTTGCAGGCCACCCACTCCGAGGCTATCCATTTGTTTGGTTTCAAGATCGGCAAGCGGTACCGGTGGTGCCGAGACAATGGAGAAGAGTGAACCACTCGATTGCTGGCATTCGGTGAGTAATGATGGTGCCGGCGGTTGCGAACAAGCGACAATGGGCAATTCGCCCGGTTGACTTTCGCGCGTATACTGCGGTTCACAGATGACTTCAATAATTTCGGTGGAATTGCCATCGATGGCCGAACGGCTGTCGAGCTGGCGTTGATGGTGATGGCCAAGGGTGGCATTAGATTGAACGAGCCTTCCCGACTCGTACTGGACTCGACCAATTGGGTCCGGTTCACTCGCGCAGTACACCGATCCCCGTGAATCCTGGAAGCAGAAGAAGAAGAAGAGGAGGAGACATTTTAAATGAGGTTTAGCATGACATTTTTTTATGTGTATATAGAAAAACGTTTGCATACTTTTAGGCGCATATTAGAAAAATTAAATCTTCGGTTATTTCAATGTAGAGTGGCCATACTTTGTTGTTATTAAAATCGGACCAAAAATGAGCAAGCCTCATTTAAGCCAAAAATGAGCAAGCCTCAGACCTATGGTAGCCTCTAAAAATATTTTTAAAAAATCCACGCCTATAGTAGCCTCAGAAAAGAATGTTTTAAAAATAATATAAATCCGATTTAGCTTTTTTTGCCGAAAATGAATTCTTTCCAATTCCCAATTTCCTGCAATTTGTTGCCCTTCAGCAAAATTGCAACTCATCAAAAATTTACAATTTTCCTCAAAATAAAAAAGGCCATTAAGAAAAATGATTTTGCCATTTTTATAAGACATGGTCCCTTTGTTACGCTAATGTCAAATAGGGAATTCCTTTGACCCCTCGACCCCCAATATATTTCTCTTCTCGTTGCTTTATAAATAAATCTGTCTCTATGTTCTTCATGTCAACTGTCAGCGACTTTAAAGCTTCTTAAAAATGGTTGCCGCTCATTTTGTTTTTAATATGCATTTCAAGGCTTTTTGCTTTGCTTTGTTATCGCGCAAATGATTGTGTTTGGTGGTGGTGGTGGTAGTGGGTGCGAGGTTGAGGCCAAAGGGATATAAGCTTTATGGTCTTGACCTTGTCATTGGAACATAATATGACTTAGTATTTATTTTGATGTTGTTGTTGTTGTGGGAAAATTCCATATTTCTTTTTGCCGTGTTGTTGGTAAACAACAACAACAATAATAAGAATAATAATTTCTCAACTTCCTTTTGGCTCGGCTCGTCTGTCATATTTTTTTTTCTCCAAGTGCGATACACAGTTTCCGAATGAACTCAGGTAATTGCAATTAAATTAAGAAATATGACACTTGTAGATGTTCGGACCTGGGAAGGTAGGTGAGGGACAGTCGGTGAGATGTGATATTAAAGTAGGTGGGACCTTCGGGATGATATTTATTTCTATAAAATTAATTCCCCTAATGCTAAAGGAAATGGTGTTCTTGAATGAGGAAAAATAAGAATATAAAACCATTGTTTTATTTAAGCGGAAATTGAAAACAAACTTAAATCGATTTAATAAATAACATTTATACGAGGGTGGTCATAAGAATATGAAATATTTTTAATTTACTTCGAGAAAAATCTAATATAAAAATTCATATCTTGCCCATATTTAATAAACTTCCAATTTAAGTCAGGGAAAAGAAGACATGAGCTGGAAAGTAAATAACAAAACAACATTGGCAAAAAGAAAAGGAATTTCCCCTTAACATGGCATGTGATACCCCGCAAAGGAAAGTTCTACAAGTGTACACACATGCACAGCAATAATAATGACAAATCCAAAAGGCATCATCGGTGTATATATAACCTGTGATTACATCTGAACCCGTTGACGTCATTTTCAATTGTGAGGTATATTCTTGTTATTTTTTTTATAATTTATTTTCTATTGTTTTGTTTTTTACATAGAAGAATCTTTGGCATTGCCAATATTTCAGAGGAAAAATATGTTGAGATTTTTTTTTAGTATATAGAAATTAGAGTACATATATACATTTTTCTAAGGACTGGATTTTTGAAATATTTTTTCTGAGGCTAACATAGGCGTGGATTTTTTAAATAATTTTTTTCAGGGGATAACATAGGCGTGGATTTTTTAAATAATTTTTTTCAGGGGATAACATAGGCGTGGATTTTTTAAATATTTTTTTCAGGGGATAACATAATAATGTTTTTCTGAGGCGTGGATTTTTTAAATAATTTTTTTCAGAGGCGTGGATTTTTTAAATAATTTTTTTTCTGAGGCGAGGATTTTTTAAATAAGTTTTTTCTGAGGCGTGGATTTTTTAAATAATTTTTTTCTGAGGCATGGATTTTTTAAATAAGTTTTTTCTGAGGCGTGGATTTTTTAAATAATTTTTTTCTGAGGCATGGATTTTTTAAATAATTTTTTTCTGAGGCCTGGATTTTTTAAATAATTTTTTTCTGAGGCGTGGATTTTTTAAATAATTTTTCAGGGGATATTAAATATTTTTTTTTCTGAGGCGTGGATTCTTTTTAGTATTTTTGTTCTGAGGCGTGGATTTTTTAAACAATTTTTTTCTGAGGCGTGAATTTTTTAAACTTTTTTTTCTGTGGCGTGGATTTTTTTAAACTTTTTTTTCTGAGGCGTGGATTTTTTTAAACTATTTTTTTCTGAGACGTAGATTTTTTTAAACAATTTTTTTCTGAGACGTGGATTTTTTTAAACATTTTTTTTCTGAGGCGTGAATTTTTTTAAACTATTTTTTTCTGAGGCGTGGATTTTATTTAACAATTTTTTTCTGAGGAGTGGATTTTTTTTAACAATTTTTTTCTGATTTTTTTTAGTATTTATATTTCTTTCAATTCCGACCAAATTTTCTTAATTCAATTCCAAGACCAAATTTAATTTAAAAAACTTCCCGTGGCAACACTCCATTTCATTTCTCCACCCAGTTGTTATGTGAACTCTGTGTAACGGAAACGAACACAGCAAACAAACAATTCAAAGCATACTTTAAGGCGTTACCCATATATATTTTTGCATTCGCGTGTCTCCAAAACAAAGTTCAATGTTCATTTGTATTATTATATTGTTTATAATAATTTTCGAATTAAAAAATTGCATATTAAATTATAATAATAACAATAATAGCAATAAACAAGTACATTTATCTTGTCATTTATCATCAAATTAAACTGGAGGGATGGGAAACATTTTAGTGATCTCTCCTGTGGTTACAGGGTGGTAGTTCCTGGTAAATAAATTGCAAAATAGCAAGAAGCAAAGGATAATTGTGAAATATGAAAAGGGGGAGGAGTTTGGCTTTTTTAATGTGGAAGAAAAAGAGGAATAAATGGGAAATTTTATGAAAGTATAAAAACCTTTCTTTGTGTCTCTTTGGATTTTTTTAGTGATAACATCTAAAGGGACATAAAATAAATTATTTCAGAATAAAAGTTTTATTTCTAAACACGTTTACACTATAGCTTATATTGTAATAATATGCATTATTCCGATTTGTTTCCTAAATCGAGCTGAATTTAACTCAAGTTCCTATACATAAATACACTCACTGCCATATTCTAAAAGTTCCAAAATTGTAATGTTTTTTAATCGAGCTGAATTTATCTCGATTTACATAAAAACACCACTCATTATCTCGAAATCCGCTACAAAATCGTGAATATCTCAAATACAGCTCTGTTTTTGCACCAAAAAATGCATCACTTTTGCTAGAAGAACCGAATTGGCAACACTTTAGGTACGGCAACGCAAGAATGTTAAAAGATAACCTCTAAATTGTGGAACCTAATTGATGGAGAGGAATTCCTATTATAATTATGAAAGTATTGGCCAGCTACGAAAGTATTGGCCAGCTGACTAACTTTATGGAATAAATAATATGAATAAATCCACGCCTAAAAGTGGGATATACCCTGAAGAAATATTAATAAAATCCAACGACTAGAATGCAGAATTTTTTAATATTTATTTAGTAAATATTAAAAGAAATAAGGCTTTAATATATATATATATATATAAAATGAATAAATTTTAATCATAAATTCAACCATAGAATGCATGCATATTGTTCACGGAGCGAACATGGTTTTTAAATAATAAAGATAGTGAATGTCTTGCTGTGGGTCCCTTGTGTAGAAGAGAGACTATTTAGTGAAACAGGGATCTATTTTTGTCTACAGTCCACTTTAGATAAGCGATTATTTTGGTTGAATATTTGTACACAATAATAAGATAGGAGTTTTCTATTGCCACATGTGGTATGTTTGGGTGAGATTACGGAGAGTAATATTCACTACAGACTGATAAGCATGTGTAGCGTGCTTGCCACATGTGAGGTAACGAGTTGTGTGTGTCCACTCCATGGGTTATGGCAGATGCACTCTCTCTTTCTCTTTTACACATTAGCCTAAGATAGGTTAAGTCATATTGTAATAATTAGTTCTTAAGAAACACTTTTTATATTAATAAATTAGTGTGTAAATGCACCGCAAATAAGAAACATACGTGCTATCACTCCGCGGACAATATCCGCGTAAGATCCCTAGCTTTTCACATATTCTGCATAAATATTATTCACATTATTATTAATATATTTTTTTTTAATTTATTTAGGTTGTAAAAATATTTGATAGAAAATGGCGCCAAGAAATTATTAAAAAAAAGAAGCCTGATTGAGAACTATTGGCCAGCTACGTAAAATTTGAAATATGTGTGTTTACAAAAACAAATATCAGCTGACTGACTTTATATTATGTAAATACTAGTCTAAACAAGCTAGGATTTAGATCCTCGTTTTACAAATCAATTCGATTCAGAAGACGTAGTCTAAACACCTAAATCTAACAATAACCCTTTTTGATAATCACAAATAAGTAGTTTGGCATAAAACTTAAGAAACAGCTGATATTTCTGGCTAGGTGATTTCTTGAATGTGAACTGTAAAAACATTTTCAAATCGAACTTTTACATTTGTTATAAATCGAACCGATTTTCGCATAATTATTGAACAAATTAATTTTTACCGGGTTAAACAGCACTTACATTAGAACTTTTTACTTTTAAGAGGATTTATTTGACATATATGCAATGGAATTAACAATTTATTCCCACTATGTTAACGAAATCCGGTACAATGTAAACGTACTATTAACCTCCTCTATGAGGTTTTATTTGACTTTTATGCAATTGAATTCACATATACTGGATTTACTTAATCCACTTTAATGTAAATGTGATATAAAAATAATATTCTTTGTACAATTATAAGACCCGTTCCAGAACCTTAAAGATTCGATTAAAGCTTTCCTGAAACCACAAAACTAGTAAATTGTTCAATCAAACTTAAAACGGAATTTACATTAGAACTTTTTACTGGGTTAACCTACTCTATGAGGATTTATTTGACATGTATACAATGAAGTTGACAATTGAAACCCACTGGGTTAACGAAAACCGGTAAAATGTAAATGTACTATACGAGAAGATAGGACAAAATTATATTCTCTTTATGAACTTTTTCTCGAAAAATTTAGCCGAGTAAAAATGTTAAACATGAATGCCTAATTTCCCCGCTTTTAATTTTGTCTTTTTTACTAGTTTCCGATCCAGAACTTTTTTGAAAATTTTCCCTCTTACTAGATTTACTATTAAAAAAAAGTACTGGATCAGAACAATAGATAATAATTTTGTGGGCAATAAAAATGTGATTTTAGCAGAACCCAAATATATGTCCCTATTGAATGAACTTTAGTTATTTGTTAGTACAATAGATTTTCACATTGAAGTATTAAACCTTTGTCTCTCCGTCTAAAGGAGTTTTTCCCCCATCACCCAATCACAATAGCGATGACTAATAATTCGAAAAAAAGAAACTTGAATTTCCAATCATTCACCCCAAAATTGTGCAGTAGCGATAAACAAACATGATTTCTTTTATTTGTCATGCATTACAAATAACTACTGCAAAATAGCAACAATAACAACCACAATAAACATATGATAATATGGCATGAGATACTGTGAGAGAGTGTTATGATGGTTCTCTCTAGATTAATCAGAAAATAAACAAAGACTAGAAATACGGACAATGTCAACAATGTTGTGGTAGTTGTTGTTATAATTATTGTCTAAACATTGTCATATCAAATGCATATATGTAAGTATGTAAGTACACTGTTAACTACTTCAGTCATCATCCAAAGGTCAAATGGCAAAGAATTAACAAGAAAACAATGTATCACATTTGAGGAAATTTATCACAAATGGAAACAAAAAAGAAATCACAGCAATTGTCATATGGTTTTTTTATGTCAAAGTCAATGTACGATGGCCATAGGATAACGGAAGCAACACTTTGAAAAAATGAGAGAAATAACAGAGAGAGAGAGAGAGAGTATAACTAAGCACTGAGATTTGTGGTGAGTTTGCGTGTCACATGTTTAACTCTCATTTAATCGAAAACATATGATGCGACATGCATGTGTATGGTCTTTCATTGTTTATTTAAGTTAAGCTAATGTTGCAAATAGAAATGGGCAGGATGGTTGCAGCAAATTAATGACAGAAAGTTCAAGAACATCTTTACTGCTTTGTAACAGGTTTGTATACAACATGGAAATGGGGGAATGGTATATGCGGTGACGCTGTAATGTGTGTACAAGTTTGTAGTTCGGCTAAAGCTTATTAATTCGCACACATTGAGGTCAATATTGAGTATATGTGACATAGATTTATTTTTTCTTTGATGTGTTTTTTTTTTTTTGTATAAAATTATTACAGTATGGAGAATATAGGCATTTGCATGTAAATTGTTGCAGCAACAATATTTTTGGAGCCACATTCATTACGACAAGGCTCAAACATTCTATACGGGATATTTTCTCGTAGCGTATATCTCAATTGTTTTAATGGAAATGAATGAATGTTTTATGAATGAAATTTACTTGTTTATATTCATATATGGAATTAACATTTGAAATCATGTGGATATAGTTTTAGCGCATTTAAACGGCATTTACATTAGAACTTTTTACCGGGATAACCTACTTTATGAGGATTTGTATACGTAAACAAATAACAGCTGATAAATGATTTTTATATCATATCATATTAATACTAGTCTAAACAGCTGGTATTTGACACATATACAATACAATGGAAGTGGGTTTATATTGTCACAATTCTGTTCAATGTAAACGTACTATTAGACTATGCTGCTAAATTGAATCGATTTATAAATTCAAATACCAGCTGTTTAGACTAGTATTAATATGATATGATATAAAAAATAATTTATCAGCTCTTATTTGTTTACGTATACATACACATTTCAGTGTTTCATAATTTTTGTGGCAATTTTTCTCTTAATATTTTCATCATTCGAATCGATCTCCAATAGTTTTAAAGTTCATAAAAATATTTGTTATTTCAAATTAAAAACATTTTTATCGTTTAATTCCTCAGCTGCTACCATTTTTTTGGCAACTATTTTACATTTCAACATATTTTGTAGCATACTATTAGGAGACGTGATTAATTTTTTGGTATAAAAACAGGGTAGTATTTGAAATTATCTCGATGTAATTATAGGATTTCAAGCAAATCGAATTATTGAATGGATTTGTATAAATTCAGTTCGATTTAGCAGTTAAATCGATAAAAAATGTAGTCTAAACGCTCCTTTATTTATACGTGTTTTAAATGGTATCAAAATATCGACATTTACATTAAATATCTTAACTGGTCAATTATCGAATTATAGAACCCTATATATCTATGAACCCTATTTACAATATAAATCATCATTTAATATAAATTATCATTTAATTGCCGTTTAAGTTGTCATTTCCTTTGAATATATGTCAATTAAATGATTTATTTTTAAATCGAGGTAATAAAACCTAGCTGTTTAGACTAGCAGCCAAATGATATAAAGCCAATCAGCTGATATTTGTTTGCGTATACATACACATTTCTAATTCCACGTAGCCTACAAGTATTTCCATAATTATAATAGAAATGAATGTCCATAAGGTGAAAACATGTGTTGTGTTAAAACCGTTTTATAGTACATTTACATTGTACTTGATTTAGTAAATCCAATAGATCAAAATTGTCAATTCTTTTGCATACATGTCAAAAAAATCCTCGTAGAGGAGATTAACCAATAAAACGGAATTTATATTTTTATAAAATGCCTTATCTCGATTTATTTGCTAAATCGTGCTGAAGTTATATCGTTTTCTAAACAGGCACGATTTTTAATAGCCCTACTAAATCCTAACGGGTAAAATGATATCAAGTTGATAGTCAGCTGTTTTTTGTTGACAGTCAGCTGTTATTCTATGTGGATTAGTTACATAAGTAATGCATTTTTTGTTGTATTTGTAATTATTTATATTTAAAATATCTATCAAACATTTTAAATTTGTTATTTCATTACCTGTAAAGGGAATTCTCCTCGGGATAAAGACATATTTTACTACTGCCGGAAAATCGTTTTTGATGCTTTTTATTTGTTGGTTTATGATGTTTCAAACCTAAATGCATTGGTTTAAATCTGCTACGCTTGAGGCCGCCAGAAAATAGTTTCGCAAACGCAAATGCGATAGACGGCGGAATTTTGTGATTTTTTATTTGTATTTCTTGTATATGAAAGAAATTCAAAATATATGCAGCCTACACTTAACCCGGAAAAAAGTAGTCAGCAACAAGAACAAACAATTAAAGGGGAGGTGTTTTTTTTTCGCTCAGGCACTTAAAAAGTGCTTGATGCGTTGTTGTAAGGAAAACTTCCTTTCTGTTATTCGATTTTTTGTAACTTGTTATCCTTTTGTTATTGGCAAGTCAAAAAAATGGTATTAATAATTGGTCGTCTTCATTTGTTGGTTTACACCACTGTGTTTTTTATATTAACCGACAGTGTGCGTGTGTACGTTACAAAAAAATTCTCGTTTAGTACAAAAAAATTATACAAATATATATTTGGCACTTGTTTCGTAGAGGAAATTTCTTGTTTCCTGCTGTTGTTGTTATTTTTTCTGTTTTCAAATAAACAAAACGAAATGTAGAAACTTTAAACCAAACATACAGAAAATGCTGAAAGCAAAAGCAAACTCTTCATTTATGGTAACATTTTTGCAAATGAGGTTGAGGTTAGGTTGTAGTCTCGACGACCAGCCAGCCAGCCAGTGTTTTTAGGTTATTGGGTTACGTTCAGAGATTTGCAATGCGTTACGATGCTGCAGTGTTGTATAAGGATAATTATTGTCCTTGTCAGAGGTTGAGACGACGATAATGATGATGGCGATGGTGACAGTTTGCCTCTGTTGTGTCAGTCGCTTTTTTTTTTTATTTGGTGCAACCGAAGAGGAAGAGTAAATGAGTGACTTTGTCACTGTTTCCACTTCCGTTTTCTCTCAAAAATACTCTCTATCTCTCTCTGGAATTCTTGGCAGAATGCTATTAGCCTGGTTCGGGTTTTCTTTATTTCAATGTTCGGCAAATTGGTCGTATATTAGGATACCTGGGCTATTTGTGTATACGTTTGTCGTCGTATTATTGTTTTTTTCCTCCTTTAGTTTTAATAAAACGTTATGTTTAGAATTTATGTTATAAATCAATACCCAAGTTCTATAACTTTGAAATCGTTTTATTTATGGGCAGCTGCCAGAAAAAATGGTCTTGGTTGACCTTCCAATGTGTTATGCTCCCGTTTTTTTTGTAAAAAGTGCAAGGTTTCTTTTTTCTCGTTATACGATTTTATTAAGAAAAAATATATTTTTTTTTTGTTTAGAAAAAAAATCGCCTAAATTAACACTCGAAAGTGTTAATTCGTTTGAGACTTCTTTGTAGCGCCTAATTTAATTCCGTTTTTTGTTAATTTTATTCGATAATTTGTTAAATTTCCAGCTTGAAAATCGGAAAAAAAACCTTCCCGAACTCTTGTGTAATTGCTGCTGTAGACAGGAATTTTTCTTTTATAACAAAGGATGTTTTTTATCTCTCTCACTTTGTAGCGATGCGTTTTTTAGATTTGCAACCGTTCGGTTATGTAGTTAATGCTCAACTGTTCGTTTTGCCAAAACTCGTCCAAGTTAATATATGTTCTCCTAGGAAGACAAAGACGATGTCACATCCTTCTCAATATTATAACATATTCACCAAAATGTGGTGCAATGTAATAAAAATTCACCACACCACCTATGCTGATTGCTCTCTCATTGTATATGGCGAGAGAGATAGCGGAAAGAGAGTATCCATATTTGTTTTTATTTACATTTGCCATGTGTGTTTTGTTTTGACCGGCATATTTATTTCCGGTTAGTTTGTTTTTATCGTTATTTTCTAAACAAATGTTAATGTGGTTGCCATATTTTTATGTCTAAAAATAAGAAGTTGCCAAATTGTTGAAAAGAGTATTTTGACTATAGCTTTTATGGTGATAATGTTCATTATTTTGATTTAATTGCTAAAATGACTTGTACTTTAGAACTTTTTATCGAGTTAATCAACTTTATAGTACGTTTACATTATACCGGATTTCGTTACCCCGGTGGGTTTCAATTGTCAATTCCATTGTATACATGTCAAATAAATTCTCATAAAGTAGGTTAACCCGGTAAAAAGTTCTAATGTAAATGCCGTTTTATGAGGATTTACTAAATCCAGTGCAATGTAAATGTACTAAAATTTGAACTGAATTTACCTCGAAATTAAATTCACTTTTTTCTCGATTTCCTCTGCGTAATCGAGATAATTTCAAATATAAAACGGCATATACATTAGAACTTTTTACCGGGATTATTATTGAATTGACAATTGAAACCCTCTGGGTTAACGAAATCCGGTTAAATGTAAACGTACTATAACACTGTTTTTATAGCAAAAAATACGTCAAGTTTCCTTAAAGTACCAACATGAAAAAGCTATATGTGTGTGTCATTTCTTCGCATTAAAATGCTAAGACCTTTTCTAACAATAAAATGACAGCAGCTGACAAAATTCAGTAAACAAATATCAGCTGACTGACAACTTTATATAATGTTTAATAATATTCTAAACAGCTAGGATTTTGTAGCTCAATTTAGAAATCTGTTTGATTTGGAAGGCAGTTAAAACTTTTATAAAGGGGAAAAAGAAAACAGTTTCAATTCATTGAAGATTCTTTTAATTTGCTAGAATATAGCAGCAACAGCTGTTTTTTTATATGTGACATTTTGTTTAGCAAAATTACGATTTATATAATTTTTTAAGTTTCAATTTTTTTCAAGCATCAAAAATATTAGAATACCTTAAAATTGTATCAATTTATAATATAATATTTACAATTTTTGTCTAATACCGCTATTTATAAAAAATAACGATATGTAAACATCGAATTGCAGATCCCTAAATGTATGCAACTAGATCAACCCATGGTACAATGAATAGGTAGTCCATTTAGAGCAGCTGATGTCTTGATTAACTTTCTAATTGGTAAATTTTACTTGAATTCGATGTGCAATGCTGCCAAATTTTTGATATATTATAAGGAAAAATTTGACAGATAATCGAGACAAAAAAAAAAATGTTTTTGTTTTGATACATCACCTTATTATTGCATCATGGATCAACCTTTACTTTAAATTATAATTACTTACATTACCCTGAAATACTTTGCTATTGAATATTCAATTAAAAATATATTTCAAACAAATATACAACCACAATTTTAATTTGTAAATATAGTTCAATTAATATTTCCCCCTACAAAGTTATTTGGCCATTTTTGCATTTATAGATCCCTAATTACTATACGTCATGTTTTGTGAGTAATTACTGAAATAATTAGAAAGACAAGTCTAGTTGACATAAAAATAAATATAAATATATAAAAATTTATTTCATATATATAATTATTATTATTTTATTGAAAAAAAAATATTTTATTTATTATTCTTTAAGTGTTTGCTGTTCATCATACGCCTTACGCTCTACTATTTCATTAAGTGCTGCCAAGTATCATCAAGTTGGCAGCACTTATATGACAAGAAAACAACAAAAATCAGTGCAGCCAACCTAGCCATCTTTAAAAAACAAAGATCTTGGAAATTCAAGCTTGTGTGTGACCTCCTCAACTGAATTGTGGCGGCATATTATAAATATTTTTTCGAACGAAGCACTACAAGTGGAAAATCAAAAGAAAATTGTGAAAATTTTACAAGAAAATTATAGCGATTGCTCTAAAATCGCTTAAAACTCCCAAAAAATAAAGAAGACTATATTTTATATTAACCCTAAAAAGGAAACTCACATCAAACAGAAAAAATGCCGCGCACAAAGGTTTCCAAAAGTTCCAAACGCAATCGTGAGGCAGCGGTTCGCGAAGAAAAGATACGAGAATTTGAAAATACCTTGGAAGGTTTTCAAAATACTTTTGATGTTAAGGTCCAGGATTATTTGACATCGTTTGAGCACCATTTTACAATGTTGCTGCAAAAGACAAGCACAGCTTTGCTCCAAATGAAAATCTGTGATGTCTTTGAAATGGTAGGTCGATATATTGATTTTACATTTTTGTTGTTTTTAATTTGTTTGAATTTCTCTTAGGATTTAGATAGATTTGCCGACTGGGATAAAAAGATGAAACAGCGTAATGAAGAAAATATGGCCAATTCCACATTGTTGCGTTCAGCAAAAGTTACCAATCCAAATGACGAAGGTGAGTTGAATATTAAGTAATTTTCTTTTATGGAATTGGTTGTGGTCTTTTGTATTTTTCCTAGGCTTTTTGGGGATTTGGTAAATGTTACTTCAATTTTTTTTACAATTTTCTTCGATATCGCAGTAAAAAGTAGTAGATTCTTGCAGTACGCGAACAGTCTAATAGTAAATATTTCCATTATCATTTTTCGTGAATCCATACTTTCTAAAAAGGTTGATCATAGCAAGTAGCAGATGTTGCAGATGTTTATTCTTACCTACCTCTAACTGCCTACATGTTGTGAAATTTCCTTACTTGCTTTCGAAGAAAATCATCCCTTATTTTTTGGGAAAACATGTTTGACCTTGCTCGTTTAAGATGTTAAAGATGTTGTTGTAGATGTCCTACTGTTTTACACAATGGGCTGAGATCGTAGATTCTTGTCTTGTAATGATATTATTACTGCTGTTGTATTTTTTAAAAATGAAAATAATGTGTAAGAATTTTGCCAAACAATGTCAAAATTCACATATTTGTAATCTTGCCATACAGGCCTCATATATTACAACCAAGCATTATTTCTAAAACTATTAAATTTTTTAGTTCAATTTATTTTTATATAAGGAATATTTTAAAATGTCGAATATTTACATCTGCTTGGCTTCCAAAACATAACTCCCACTAACGGAGACTCATTATAATGTAGAAATCTTGCATTCATTGTGGAACCATACCAACCAAAACTCATATTTCATACATGCTTATTTTATTTAAAAAAAAAATAATTCTGAATTCCATTCTATATTGTATGCAAGCAATTCATTTTTATTTTGGTAAACTACTCTTTTAAGGGGTTCCGGTTCTTTTCTTTACTATTTTTGTTTTCTTTTATGCACCCACAAATTTTAATAATATTAATATATATGCACACACACGCCTCATCTCATTACTACTTTTCTTCCTAATCATATGTTTACAAACAAAAATCTCTTGGCTATTTTGTGACTCATTTGGTAAAGGCTACCTTACAGAGGATAGTTCCACATCAGCCAGTCTAGGCTCATCGACAACAAATGCTGCCTATTTAAATTCATCAGCTATGCGTACAACAACACAACAATTGCCGCCACATCAATCGGCACGTTTACGCACCCCAGGACCATTAAGTTCTGCAAGAGCAAGGCGTCCCCGACGCAGTCGTTCAGCATGTGGTGATTATGGTATACCCGGTTCGGCAATGAAATCAAAACCATCATCACATTTATCCATAAATTCTGGACATCATAGCAGCAGCAACAGTACTGCCAGTGATCATCATTCACGTAGTAAAATGAGAACGCCCATGGCTTCACGGACTAAAGCCTTGTCGGCTGATCGTTCAGCAAAAGATGCCAATGAACCACAATCACCGCCATCACCACCCACATTTTTACGTTTTCCCAGAGCTGGTGAATTGGTATTGTCAAAATGTGGCAGTCCTTTGGTGGCCAATTCGTAAGTTTAACTTTTTTGAGTAAAACTATTTTTCAAAACAAAAAATAATTTTATATTATTTTGTGTATTTCTAGTGGACCTGATAAAATTGCCCATGTCAATATACCATTGCGTGGTGGTGTCATATCAATGAGACCCAAAAAAATCGAAGGCCTAACTCCTGATATACTCAAGGAAATGGATCCCGAAACCTTGCAGCAATTAAAAACCTTACATGCAAATATCGATAAGATTGTAAGTATGGCAGATAAGGCCGGTTTCATTTAAGTCCTGGAACGAACAACAAAACGCTCAATAATTGGAATTTAGTTTACAATAAAAATATATTTATTATCGATAAACAAAGTACCTCCCCACACTCACACACACAAACAATGCGAATCCCAAAAAAATCCTCCATGATCCTGATACTACATTTGAATATCTTGTATTTTATACATTACATGCTCTATACAAAGCCTAATCATGATTGTTTGGCTTGTTTGAACAAATGACTACTACACACCAAAAAATGGAATCAAGATTTTTGAATTTTAGACGCCCCACATCACAGTTAAATATAATTTCTTTGTGATCATTTAACTGTGTTGCTCTAAAAAATATTCTTGATTCCTATATTGTGTTGAATTAATGTTGCCTAAATTACATGCAACGCAAAAAAAAAAACAAACAAATCTTGTTTTCTTCTCAATATGTTTTTTTGTCTTTAACGTTGTTAGCAGCGTTTTTCTTTTTTTTTTATTAATATTTGCAAACATTCTTTTTGTTTTGTTTTAGTGTTTTTTTTTTTAATTTTCCGTTTATATCCTCTTTAATTTTTCTATCATAAATTATCTCACCCACGAACGAACAACAAAAAACTATATAAATATTTTATAATCAATTTTATATGTAACAATGCTACCTAGGTTAAGATTTTCCATTATATCAATTTTATATTATTACAAATAAAATACATTTATAAACTAAAAAAATCTAAATGATATATATACAAAGGTTTTTTTTTTATATTAAAATAAAGGTAAAGGGTCTTTCCACTTCTGATAGAAACAATTTTATTATAACTTAATTTTTGTATTTTTATTTTAATACTTAAAAATTAAGTCTTTTTTAACACAGCGTGTATACGTTATACATTTTTTAAATAGAGTATATTTTAAACAAGATAATTTTGCGCCACATTAGCAGAAACCATTGACAGTTATTTCACACTTCAAGCCATTTTGACAACTAAAACTGTTAGAATTGCGATTATATTCAACATTTGTATGTTTAATTTTTTATTAACTAAAGAAAAATTATTTAAATTCTTCCCCTTTATTATTTATTTATTTCAAACGAAGCCTTTAGGCCAATAAATGTAATACATTATTCAAAACAGTATGATTTAACTACTCAAAATTTAATTATTTAAAAAAATTATTTAAAATGTTTCTAATCGCAATTGAATTTACGATACAATATACCATTTTTGCCAAGTTGTGCAATGTCTTGACAAACGCCATGCATTTGCGCCACATTAGGAGCAACCCTTTGACAGGTATCTCACAATAATTCAATCATTCACAATAAGAGAGCAAGTGGAGCGTTTTTCAATTAGTTATTTTCTCTTAAACTCAACGAACGAAGTCGCAGTTATGTTCAACATTTGTAAATTAATTAAAAATGCTTAATAACAAAATTAAACGATTAATTTATTATAAATTCTCCACAATTTCCAGTATGTTTAATATGTGTTGGAGTGCTGTGGGGCTGCACAAATCCCTTTATTCGCCGTGGAAGTGAAGGTATTGAACGCATAAATACCGGCTCATCTACGAAAAACCTGTGGCTGGAAATGAAAACCATAGCAGGACGTTTAAAATATTGGATACCATTTGCATTGAATCAATTGGGCAGTGTTCTTTATGTTTGGACATTGCAATTTTGTGAAATAATTGTTGCCGTTCCCGTGGCCAATTCATTGACATTTGCCTTTACCGCCATTACAGGCTATTGTTTGGGTGAAAAGATACCGGGCAGAAGTAAGGTTTTTGATTTTTGTTGGTAATTAATGTATGGAGTAAAAAATGTAATATTTTATTCTGTTGTAGATGTCATAATTGGCACACTTTTGGTGTGTCTGGGTTCATCGATAATGCTATATGATCAGGCATTAAGAGAGCAGGCTGTAATGGCGGCCCAGTGATAAGTGGAGTTATTTTAAATTAATAAAAAAAAACTTTGTGTGCAGTCGCAGAAAGTGATAAATTATTAAAATAAGAATATTGGGCTAATCAAGAAACCTGTTGACGAAATTATTTAGAACGTAAGTCGGCACCTTCAAACCAATTTAAAAATCAAATCTACTGCAACATTACAAACGGTTCCAGAATAAATTTTAATAAACCAATAACATTATCACAGAAAAGGAAGTAAATAAGGTATTAGATAATCCCTTCCACAGTCAATCCAATTGGATTTGAAACAGAATTTCAGTCGTTCGGCAGCCTGACTGAGAAAACTTTCGTTGATCTAGTTTCGTTTCGCATCGTAAAACCCATTGTCGTGGAAACGAGCAATATTTTCTGCTCCGATAAATATTGAAATAAGTATTTGTATCCGGTTTAAGAAGTTTTCGCCAACATAATAACAACCTTATGTCGAATCAATTTACATTTCAAACTCAAAAAGAATACATTAGTACTACAATCCGCCTGTATCACAACACCATATAAAGGAAGGTGTGGACATATGTAAACGGTTTAAAAGACTCCATTTAATTATCATAACACCCCATGCCGAAGGTCTTTACATTTCAAACCAAAAATGAATACTCTCGATTTTACATTCCATCAATATCACAACACCCCAAAACAAGAACATGCTAAAGCAATTTAAAAATGTTAACCCAAAAAAATCAAATGTCGATTTTATTGCCATGGGTTCTTAAACAAAGAGAGTATATATGTATATATAAAAAATGCATTCTTATAATCTATAAGGCTTTGTGTACAGCATCTACAAAAACTTCCATGCTTACAATTGGTGTTTGTGGTGTAATGCCATGGCCCAAATTGGCAATATAACGTGTCTTGCCAAATTTACGCACCATTGTTGTGGCCAATTCGCGTATTTCTTCGGGTGTCTTATACAAATCCTGAGGATCCAAATTACCCTGCAAAGTGATATTGGGACCAACTTGTTTGCGGGCCTCCTCGGGATCAACAGTCCAATCCAAACTAATGACATCATAACCCAGTGTGGCCTGTTCGGCCAGAGAGTGACCAGCACCCTTGGCGAAAATTGTCTGGAATTCAAATTAAATTATTTAATATTGAAAATCGGAAAAGGTTCGCAATTGATTACCATAGGAACCAATGGAATATTCTGTTCAGTCAAACGCTGCTTTAATTTGCTGGCAATATCCTTGAGATATGGTGCACACCATTTCAAAAAGTCCTCCTTTGACAAATGTTCAGCTGACGATTCGAAAACTTGCAACATTTGAGCACCCGCCTTAACCTGCATTTCCAAATAATCCACAATGGAGGAGGCAAGCATATCCAATAACTTTTTGGCATCTTCGGGATAATCGCTGAGCCATGCCTTGGCCTTTGACATTGTTTTGCTGCCGCCACCCTCAATCATATAACCCATCAAAGTCCACTAGAAAGGTAAGTACAACACATTTTTTTAAATTATCTTAACAAAATAAAACAACAACAACAACTTACGGGGGCACCAGTGAAACCCAACAAAGGCACTTTACCCTCCAACATATGACGCATCATGGTAATTGCCTCACCCACATAGGCTAAACGTTCCACTGCACCTTCAGGTTTAAGTTTGGACAAGTCGGCAGGTGATTGCAAAGGTTCGGGGAAGACTGGACCCTATACAAAAATACAAACAATTAAATTTTTCTCACAATAAAAAATTAAATTCCTTTACTCACCACCCCTGGATGCATTTCCACTGTCATACCCAAGGCCTGTGGCATTACCAAAATATCCGAAAATATAATCGATGCATCTAAATCAAAACGTCTCAATGGTTGCATAGTAACCTCACATGCCAATTCTGGGGTACGACACACCGTGAAAAAATCATGCACTTTACGTACTTCTTGAAATTCGGGCAAATAGCGGCCGGCTTGTCTCATTACCCAAACGGGTACACGATCGACGGCTTCACCTCGTGCTGCTCTCAAAACATTGTCATTTTTCAACGCTGGGAAATTCTGTTCAATTGCCACACAAGACACAAGACAAAGGTTAATCAATAGTGTTATTACCTTTAATTCTGGCTTCATTATCTTTTTTGACATTCACGTTTTTTACATGTGATGTAATTTATGTGTCAATTTCTTCGTTTGTTTTCTTATTTCACTCTCTTACCTTGGCATCCTTCATGTTTTTGCTTTTTATTGTTCACCTTTTCTGTGTGTGGACTTTTATTCTTTAGTTTGTTTATAATTTATGCTTTTGCTGCATGAATTAACAGTTTTACCGTTGCTTAATCGTGTTTTCTTCTTGTGTTTATCGGTTGCCGTCTTGTTGCCGAATGTTTATAATTTAATTCATTCACAATGGTGGCTTATTAGAGAGAGAACAGCTGTTTATTGAAGGGTTATTTATACTATGTGCTACAAAGTGAACATTGAATGAGGGCGTTTTTACACAATTTGTCGGTTGTCAGAGTAAGGGTATGTTTATATAAAATGATTTTATATGAAGTGCATGATACAAATAGCAATTTTCATGGAATATATGTCAATTTATTTATTTATTATTTCATTATGTAACAATAAATACTGACGTATTTCCATAATATGGACGTGTAACATTTTATATATGTCCATTAACATTAACACCATTTATGATAAAAAATATCTGATTTATTATTTATTTACATTACAAAAAAATCCAGAAAATATTTAAAAATAAAATGAATTTTGTGATTTTTTTCGGAAATCATACAATCACAATTATCTAAAGTCATTCAGTGATTTATCAGCTGAATATTAATGGTTAGTTAATTGACTTCACATTATGAAAACTTAAAAGAACAGCTGTTTTTCGCTTTATAGGCGAACACGTTAATAAGCATTAAATAATCAGCCACTATTCCAGTCTTCAATGAAAAATGCGACTAAAACCTTCAAAATCCCGAAAATGAGGGTTGTTCCAAATTGTCAAACTAACTTTTGCGAATATTTTTTTATCTGCTAGGAACTCTGAATACCATATTAAAGACACTTTGGCTGGAAAGTGCGACTAAAACCAATAAAATACCCATAATGGGGATGAGATTTTTATATAGTGGCCAAAATGAGGTGAGATCTTTATATGGTGATAAGATCAGAACATGCACCTATATAGATAATTTTCTGCTCTTATTATTTTCATCTTCTGAAACGAGAAATTATTACAGATTCATTATATTATAAATAATTACAGATTGAATCCTTGATCAAAATTAAGAATAGATGTACTTGATTGGTCTCCGTTGAATATTTCGAGTTGTTTCAAATGAAATAATAAATCGCGGAATTGCTTGTTCCCAATAAGAAAACATCCGAACTTCCAATAAGAACTCTACCTATGTTTATTACTACTATTATTGTTTGAAGTAGAACTTTATTCCGATTAAGAAGGTTCCAATAAGAACTCTACCTATGTTTATTACTACTATTATTGTTTGAAGTAGAACTTTATTCCGATTAAGAAGGTGAGTTGAACTCACCTTCTTGCTACGCCTTTGATTTTTTAACTTACGCCTTGCTATGCCTTTCATTTTTTTAAATCTTACGCCCTGCTATGCCTTTGATTTTTTTAAATCCTACACCCTGCTATGCCTTTGATTTTTTCCTTTTAAGTGGACCCCCCCCATTCTCGGGGTCAAAATTTTTTTGATTCAATTCGATTCTACACTAATTCAAGAATGTCTCTACAAAATTTCAAGTGAAAATCTCAAGAACTCTTGAAGATATAGCCGATTTATTGTGTCAGCATCAAGTGACGGCTAAAGGGCTTCTCAAACTTTAAACGCGTTTTTCTCTCTTGCGAATGGCGGGCACGATACCTCAAAAACTAATAACCCAATCGATTCCAAATTTTTACACGTTTCTCTGTGAGTGTATAGCTATCATATGAACTAGGATAAAGCCAATCGGTGAAGATCTTCATTATTTTTTAACTTGGTTTTTGGTAAAAAATCGGCGATTTTCCAAAAATATTTTTTCAAAGGTCCGCCATTTTCTTAATTTTAGAGCGAAGTCAATAATCCTAGTTCATACGAGAGCTAGATATGTACTCTTTCTAACACCGTTGGAATTTTTGGATTCCGATGTTCCAGTGGGGAGTTATCATGCCCGCCATCAAAAATAAGGACTTTAATTACAAAAAACAACAACAAAGCAATAACAAAATTTTTTTGTAAATTATTTTTCTTCTCTTTTAAATCTTCAAATATATATGTGCAAAGTTACAAACCTTAACAAGCATTGGTATTGATTTACCAGCCCATTGAAAATCTTGAAAAATTAAAATCGAGAATGGGTGGGGTTCCCTTAAATCTATTCTTTTTAAATCTACGCCTTTTCCATGCCTTAATTTTATTTAAATGTCCGCCTTTTAATTTAAATGTCCGGTTTTTAATGCTATGCCTTAGAAAAAATCAGTTTAAAAGATCTACGCCTTGCTATGCCTTTGAAAAAATATTTTTAAAAAATCTACGCATTATTTTTTTTTTAATCAACGCCTCGATGAAATATTTTAAACATCCGCGAAAAACCGCAATCCAGGCATCACCCTAAAAAATATCTATATTTATTTTCAATTATATTTCTTTTTTTAATACAAAAATTTCAAATTTAATCTCTATAAGTTTAAAGAGTTTTTAATTTTTTCGTTATACCTAATAAGTGCAGTGAAAAATAAAAAAAAATATATTTAAAAAGTGATTAACGATAGTTTCGTAATTATTTTATTAAATAAAAAGTCAAGAAATTAAAAAAAATATTTTATAAATTGTATCAAGTGCCATGATTTGACAGAAAGCGGACACAACTGTAGAACAGTGTTTTTAATGATAATTCTCTCCCGTGTAATCACGGCTTTAATAATCAGCCTGTACTGTGCAATTGCACTCACAAACCAAATCACTTAGTCTGAATAACCCTTAACGCTAAAGAACCGAAACAACAAAATAAACATTCAAAAAGACAACAACACAAAACAAAGAACCGAATAATTAGAGGAATAAAAGGAATCACAAGAATTCTTCATCTATCTGCACTGCAAGGCAAAAAAGCAAAGCAAAACGCCAACAGACGTCAAGAATTGCAGTCGTGTCAAAAATATATTAAAAGTCGTGAGCTTATCATCAAAAAAGTTGTTGAAACTCCCGAAAAATCTAAGGTAAGAATTATTTATTAATACCAAACATAATATAACGACGCATTATTTTTGAATTTTTTTATTTTAGATATCTTTGTGCAAAGAAATAAGAAGAAAACAAAACATTTGAAATAATGGCTGATGAAGAACAACCACAACTTTTGGCCGGACATCCACCGGCAGGTAAGTTGAAGATATGGGTTTTTTGGGAGAATTTTGTACTTAATGCGCATTAGAACCGAAAGTCACCTACAAATGCATAGTGATGTAGTGATATATATATATATATATATATATGCATGGGTATGTGTGTGTGCGCTTATGTTTCAAGTAATTGTGAAACTGATTTTGGAGGCATGACTTCACAACAATGTTGACCTTGAGTTTGCTTCAAAGGGGAGGGGGAAGTGAGGATGTTCTAATTCTAGTAATAAGGTGTTATTAATTGTTTGAATTACTAATTGTTTTTTTTTAATTTGCAGTTAAGGCTGGTGGCATGCGTATTGTCCAACACAAAACCCACAACTCGGAACGTCCAGCCAAAGATGCCGAAGATTGTACAGGTTTGACGGTATGTAGTGGAGAAATGTTTTTAAATTTTAATTTAAATAATTAATATTATTGTTTTCCTGTAGCAACCCGTCAGTGTCAATACCATGTCTGTGAGTGGTGCTCCTGTTAAAGGCAATGTTGATTATACGACCGAAGCTGTACAGGTGGCCCATACACCAAAACCACCAAATCATGTCTCCGTAAAACACCCCATTAACATTCAACAGCCTCGCAAGTGAATTGGCTGGCTGCTGATGTAGTCTATGAGAAACATCCGGGCGATGGATGGATGAATGGAAGATATACCTAAAAATGAGAACATTTATTTTTAGACAGAGAGCTTTTTTTATTCACAAAAAATACATTCCTTTATTTCATTTTATTCCAATTTTGTATACCACGCCTAAATGTTCGTTCAAGATTAATTTTTTTTTGTATCTTAATACATACCTACTATACATATTTTTTTGGCATTTTAATGAAATAAGAAAAAAACAAAGAGTGTTAAGTTTAGGATAGAATCCTCACACAAATATTTTCGTTTTCTTTTTTTCTAAATGTTTGTAAAACAACAAAAACAATAAAAGATTTTTATAAGAAACAAATTTAACATGTTTATTTTTTTAAATAGAAGACAAGGGTAACTACCTGGTGAAAACTAGATTATAGAAATGGGTCTTCTCATAGAAAACCAGTAGGTCCTCTCATAGAAGTCCTGTAGGTCTTCTCTTCGATGTCCATTAAGTTTTCTTCATAGAAGACACCTATGTCTTCTCATAGAAGACAAGTAGACATTCTCTATAGAAGATCAATAGGTCTTCTTTATAGAAACCAGTAGGTCTTCTTTATAGAAACCAGTAGGTCTTCTTCATAGAAGACCAGTAGGTCTACTTTATAGAAGACCAGTAGATCTTTTTTAATAGAAGATCAGAAGGTCTTCTTCATAGAAGACCAAAAGGTTTTCTTCTAGAAGACCAGAAGGTCTTCTTCATAGAAGACGAATAAGGTCTTCTTTATAGAATACCAGAAGGTCTTCTCATAGAAGACCGATAGGTCTTCTTCATAGAAGACCAGTAGGTCTTCTTCATAGAAGACCAGTAGGTCTTCTTCATAGAAGACCAGTAGGTCTTCTTCATAGACGACCAGTAGGTCTTCTTCATAGAAGACCAGTAGGTCTCCTTCATAGAAGACCAGTAGGTCTTATTCATAGAAGACCAGTAGGTCTTCTTCATAGAAGACCAGTAGGTCTTCTTCAAAGAAGACCAGTAGGTCTTCCTCATAGAAGACCAGTAGGTCTTCTTTATAAAAGACGAGTAGGTCTTCTTTATTGAAGACCATAAGGTCATATTTTAGACGACTTCTTGTAGGAGACCAGTGGATGCTCTCATAGAAGAAGAACATAAGGTCTTTTCAATATCCAACAGGTCTTTGTATTGAATACCAAAATATTTGTTATAGGAGAACAATAGGTCTTCTCACAGAATAGCAGTACGATGTGAATAGTTCTTCGTAAAAAGTACAAGTAATAAAAATAAATGGGACTTCACCTTCCCTTACCAAAAAAAAAAAAAAAAAATAAATCACATTTGTAAGTATGTATATAAAAAATCTTAAAATATTTCGTATTTATTTGAAAACTCTGCATACATTTCTCTACACACTTTCAGCAGCCTCCACAACCCAACTTTGCAGAGCAGCAACATCAGCATAGACACCAGGATAATTGGCAAAAGCACAACCATAACCCCAAGAGACAACACCAACCAAACGTCCACCCGATACCAATGGACCACCAGAATCACCTTGACACGAATCTTTACCCGTTGCAGTAGCACAAATCATAGTGGCCTTTATTTCAGCACCATAACCATATGTAGCCGATGAACATTGAGTACGTCCGACAATTTTCACATCAATATATTTCAATTGTGTGGGCAGCGAATACGAACCAGACAATGTTGTACCCCAACCCGAAACTTGAGCATCAGCACCATTTGCCGGAGCAGTTGTGGCCAATTCAATGGGTTTAATGGTCGAACTCATAGTCAAAGATGAAGCCAGACGAATAACAGCAATATCATTGACCATAGTTTCGGGATTATAGCCTTCATGATTTTTAAAGGCAGCAACAGTTAAGTAAACACCACCCGATGTCCAGTATGAAGAACCAGCACGTACTTTCAGCACCGAGGGCGATGTGTTTTGCAAACAATGAGCCGCCGTTACAATAATGTTTTCCGAATAAATGGAACCACCACAAGAGTGGGAGCCACTACGTTGAAGGGATATTTGCCAAGGGAAGGAGCTGATTGTTGTAAAGCTACCACCCACAATGCGACCATCCAACTGTGGTACCATGCCCTGAGGCACGGCAGCACCCAAAACACAGGCACAGGCAAACGATAAAAATATTACGAATTTCAACATCTTACGGCTGATGAAGAACTGAACTTTTCAGCACGTTGGTTTTTGTATATATCAGATCATAATTTGGAGGGCAATTAATTTTCACCACTCTTCTCTTTTATTTTTCATTTTCGAATCAATTTGGTTTTACCCAAAAACATATTGAGGTATGTGTTATGATGGCATGGAAAAGAAGTCAATATGTCCAAGTATAAATTATTTTGAGATTACTGCGATAAGATTAGGAGTTTAATTCTGTTTTTTTTTTTTTTTTTTTACTTTACGTTTCGAATTAAAAACTCAAAATCTTTATCAATTGCAAAATGTATTTCCCAATACAGTGGGTTGAGGTTATGTTGGATTAGTTTTTATTATACTAATTGTATTGTATTGTAATGTCAATTATTTTTTATTATTAATATAGTCAAAGTGGTTATTAATGAAGGTCAAGGAACGGGCTAACCGTTATATGTGATGTTAATTCAAATCAGGACATTATTTTGTCTTATGTTTTGTGCATACAAATTTAGTTTGAAAAGGCCTACAAAGGCTCTATTAAAGTTTGTATTTAAATATTGTTAATAGATCCAAGGCAATCGTGGTTGCCTTTAGAGCCAGTAGAGCCTTTTGATAATTAGGAGTATTTCCAAATATATATATATAAAATATTTTATTTATTTAAGATACTGATACCCTTTCCATCCTTGTTTTATGTCATTTATTTAGTATACATTTTATAAAATTGCTTTCAGTTTTATTTATTTTCTAATCATCCACCTCAGCTGCCGCCTTATTCCACAAACGATTTTTTGTTTTAGCATTCATTTTGTCCTGTTTGGTGATGGGTTTCAAATGCGCAGCATCCACAATGTCCCTGGAAAGGGGTATTAATTAATCATAGTATAAAAAGAGTTTCTGGGTCCTTCAACTTACTTAAATTCCTCATAGCTTTTGGTATTATTGACCGCCCTTAACTTGGCATCATTCCTTAGGCTATGCAATTCACCCATTCGGATACGCTCCAGACACACTGCAGATAGCTTTTGTAGTTCTTCGGCGGTTATTTTTTCGTCTATGTTTGTTGAGAACATGTTTTTTTTGATAAATTAAAAAAAAATTGAGAATTAAAAAACTGTTTTGATATAAACAAAAAAAAATTTTGAATAGTTTCCATGGTAACTGAATTTTTAGTTGGTTGATTCACTGAATTTTTAGTTGGTTGATTCACATGGTAACCACAATTTCATAGAGAGGGCCGTTATGGGTATTTTATAGGGGGTATTAAATAACAAAATCCTCAGAATATATATATATATATATAGATCTACACTTTTAAAATCAATCCCATTATAAGAACAATGATAGATGGATAAAAAAAGAGGTTAGGTTGAAAAGAGGGGTGGTGTACACAACCACATCATGTACAATAGTAGGATAAGCAAGTGAAAAGGCCTGTTGTGAGCTCTATAATGGATGTTTAAGCAACGCTGTTACTGCTCTTTACGATTCTCTTTTGAATATCTTCCTCCTTGTCACTTTTCATACCCATTTCCTGAGAACTCGACAAAGTTGTTGTGTAAACCTTGAGTAACCACAATTTCATAGGGAAGGCCGTTTTAGGATTCTAATTTTAAATTGGGTAATATAATTTATACTTATAAAGGAACATTATCAACCGGAAAGGTACATGATCTCCACTTTTAAAATCAATCCCATTACATCTGGACAATAAGAACACTTATTGATGGATTAAAAAATTAGGTTAGGTTGAACGGAGGGGTGGTTTACGCCACCACATCATGCCCAATAGTAGGAATGGGTATGTAGATAACCCAGGTGAAAGGAACATTTTGTGATTTATTCTATTTAATATATATATATATATATATATATTAAATTCTGTGTTCTTAGCGAAGTCCTTCAGTCTTTTTCATTCACATCCCCATAGCAACAAATTAACTGAATAAAATAATGATGATATTTTGTCCGACTTTTAAGCCGTAAAATTATAAATAAGGCTTTAGTATTTCTTATAAGGAAATGTTTCAATGTTTTTATTACATTATTACTTTATAAATCTTAGATCTTATTAATATTATTAAATCCATTACATATTTTCTATCAATGTATTTTAAATGTGTATTGAAATATATTATATTAATTTTTTGAATACCTAAGTTAATTGATTGCTAATATATTATAAAATAAAAAATATCTAGGGGCACACTTTTAGGCTTTATAAAAATCTAAAATAAATTCCTTTTTATTAGCCACGAGCTAAACATATCTTATCTACATACTTAACTAGCGAAAATACAACACCTTTTTGTTATGCTAATATCTAAGAACTATAATCAAAATATAACTATTCAAAATTAGACACGATGACACCACGACAAATTCAAGTACCCCAAAGGAAAGAAAATTTTTGTGGTGCGTACGAACCGATTGATTGATTTCAATCTTTAAATTTATTTTTTTTTTTGTGGAAAACCCCACTCTTTTTTATTCTAAGAATTTCCGATGTACGTAATTTTATTATCAGCTGTGAGTTGCTATCATTCCCTTAAGGAGTATGGTAACATTGTTGGCGGTCCATCAAATGTTTCTCCTGGTAAATCTCTTCGCACCTTCTTGAACATTAGCTCTATGATTCAGTCTAGCATTGATCGAGCAATGATGGTTGTGGTTCTAAGATTATCCTAGCATAATCTGCTGCTAAGGATTCGTGCCAAGGCCATTCTGGTGGTCCATTGATATCTGCTGCTGTTTTGGCTGGTGTTGTCTCTTGAGGTCTTGGTAGTGCGTTTAATCCTGGTGTGCATACTGATGTTACTGACTCCGTTTTTCCTAATTTTATTAACATAAAATTCAATTCTTTATTTATAAAAGAAAAACAATTATTTAAATAAACCTGGTTGCACTAAAGGCTATTGTGAATATTCACAATGGTAATCCATGATGTACAGGGTGTGAATAAATTAATGATTTAATATAATTTTCATTAATGAATATTATATTGTAATGAAATATTATATTGTATAATAATAAATAATGATTTTAAGTTTATTTCATCAATTTATGAATTATTTGAAAAAAATTGATAGGTCCCAATACTCCCATGGTTATTAGGGATTAATTATTAAAAATTAAAGAAAGCTCCTTGGGTTTCAATGAGGCTGGCCCCACGTTGGGCGTCAATAAAGAAACTCGAAACAACAAGAGTTACAATAATGATGGCTACTCCTTGTTTAGGAACTACTTCCCGCTTATGATCTAGTCCATCAACTTGGGCAAGCGTGGGTAATGATCTTAAGCCTTCAGTGTCCGCTAAACGAATTAGAGCCGGGTGGTCCAGGACTCGGAGTGAAGCTGATTTTATTGAAATTATTGAGCTTAGGTACTACTTATGAGAAGCAAGATAATCGTCTAGTATTGGTTGTGTAATAATGTAGTAGATTCACAGATGTAGTTTTTAGTACTTTTTACAAAATATTTACATAGTTAACCGTTAATTTCAAATGTTTAAAACTGAGTTGCATTTTAGTATTTAAATGATCAATAAAACGTATGTGTTTATACTATTGTAATTAAAATTTGAATAAAATATAGTTGATACGCTTCAAAATATATTTAATTAATAACATTTATAATTAACATTTGCCTATGATTTTCAAAAGTATATTTGTACAAATATACTAAAAAAAGTACCTCGAAAATATTTCACTGGAACTCCGAATACAGTTGATATCGGATATAAGCACATCTCATATAAGAAAACATCGCATATAAGAGACATTATCAAAAACACCGAGCTTATACTTTCTTATATCCTATAATTCCATATAAGAAAAAACACATATAAGAAAGAAATCTCCCGCTTTTTTTGAGTTTCTTATATCCGATATCTACTGTATATTCTTGTCTCTTGAATACTAAACATTTGACGTATCCATTATGTAAAAGAATATGACTACAGAAGATCGAAAAGTTGTTTTTTATCTCTTTAAGAACTGGAGGCACGTCCTCCACTAGCTAGTCCACTTTCTATTAGTATAGAAGGTATAGGACCATACACCATATGAACGAGATTTTCTTATATTTTTTAGTTTAGTTCGATAAAACACGTGGCATGTTAAGCGAACACTTAACACAGCGCCATTTTGTAATTTTTTAAGCCCGTAGGCGTGATTAACTCTTTAAATGCGTCTTTCTTGTGAGCCATCCGAAGACGAACTGGATCGAAAAGTTTATGTAATTAATGATCAGGGTCTAGATCTATTAATAAGGTCACCCAGCTAGCAAAAATCAACTGTGTTTTCTCAAGTCTAATGTCAAAATTGTTGCCTTTGTTTACGTTTTTATAATGGAAGTCAATTCACAATAATAATAATTTTTGACAGTTAACTTGAGAGGCAGCTGATATCCAGCTGGTCTCCCTTATTTATAAGCCTTGATCAGGGTGGATGGAGTTCGTAGTTTTGATTATCCTGGAGCGGAGAGGTTAACAGCGCTGCTAACTTTGTACCAAGATCTATTAATAAGGTCACCCGGCTAACGAAAGTGAACTGTTTTTCTCAAGCCTAAGCCAAAAACAAAATCTATTAATAAGGTCATCCAGGAAAACAGCTGACTATCGCTAGTCAACTGTTTTCCCGTGTCTAATGTCAAAAATTTGGCCTTTGTTTACGTTTTCATAATGGAAGTTAATTCACAATAAAGGATTTTGACAGCAAACTTGAAAAGCAGCTGATATCCAGCTAGTCTCCTTGAACGACCTTGTTATAGTCCTTGGCAAAAATTTTGGACTTTGTTTACGTTTTCATAATGGAAGTCAATTCACAATAATGAATTTTGACATTAAACTTGAGAGAAAACAGCTGATTTTCGCTAGTTGGGTGACCTTATTAATATATCTTGGTCCAGTACATTGAATATAAAACTTGTGTTTTGGTACCAATGTGTTCTGGAGTTTACTCTTAATTTTCATAGAAATTTGCACTCTCAAATATTGTTTGTGCTAAAATCACAGCTATCAGAGCAAATGGCCCAACAACGTAATGTCCATACAAGCAGTAAAACAAATGGCTGCATGTGTCAGAAAAACAATAAAATTTTTACTGAAATCAAAATAAAGACACACTTCATATAATGACGTTGCCATTATAGTAATTCTTTCATTGTGGTATCTTTAAGTACCTCTATCAGGAAAAAAACCCAAAACTTTCCATTATCTATGACAACTATCTACGCACATTTTTGCTATATAATTGACCCGCTTTCCATGAAAATCTCAGTAGTTGAGTTTAGCTCATCAACATGTTGAAGTTCGTAATTTTATTGTCTGCTGTCGCCTGCTGCTTCGCAGCCACCATTCCTGAGGGTATGGTCCCTCAAGAGGCTGGCCGTATTGTTGGCGGTGTTGCTACCACCATCAACTCCTTCCCCTGGCAAATCTCTTTGCAACGTTCCGGTTCTCACTCGTGCGGTGGTTCCGTCTACTCGAACAGAATCATTGTCACCGCTGCCCATTGTTTGCAATCCGTTTCCACCTCTGTCTTGAAGGTTCGTGCCGGTTCTTCCTACTGGAACTCTGGTGGTGTTTTGGTCTCTGTTGCCGCTTTCAAGAACCACGAAGGTTACAACTCCAACACCAAGGTTAACGATATCGCTGTCATCCGTTTGGGTTCCACCTTGACCATGAGCTCCACCATCAAGGCTATCGGTTTGGCTACCACTGCCCCACCAAATGGTGCTGCTGCTACAGTTTCTGGCTGGGGTACTACTTCCTTCGGTGGTTCCGTTCCCGCTCAATTGCGTTATGTTGACCTTAAGATTGTTGGCCGTACCCAATGTGCTTCCTCTACCTATGGTTATGGTGATAAGATCAAGGCCAGCATGATCTGTGCCTATACTGTCGGTAAGGACTCTTGCCAAGGTGATTCCGGCGGTCCATTGGTATCTGGTGGTGTTTTGGTTGGTGTTGTCTCCTGGGGTAATGGTTGTGCCTACACCAACTACCCTGGTGTCTATGCTGATGTTGCTGCCCTCCGCTCGTGGGTTATCAACACTGCTAACTCTATTTAAATAGAATTACGAACTTCAAATAAAATTTGAAAAACAATTTATACAAAAAAAATTGTATTATTTTTTAACCGAGTATATTAGAACTTGATAATTAGAAAAATAGAAAAACATATTTTTTAAAATTTGTGAAAAATAATATTTGTTTTATAGAAAACTTAGGAGACCTTATATTAATAGCAAAACTGCTTGATGACCCAGAAGATCTCATTGATATTCTTTAGAAACATTTTCTCTAAAGCCATCAAATTTGAAGTTCTATTCAAATCCTGACATCATCATAGATAGAGGAAGGGGCAGTATTTTTTCTGAAATTATCTCCTGCATTGTGTAACTCTCAGACGTTAACATATCGAAGTGAAATCATGAAAAATTTCAATACATGACAATTTTAAATTTTGTTCATAAGACCATTTTAGGTTTTGGGTACACCAGGACGTATGCATGCTGTTGCAACGTATACGCCACATGCACCTTTTAATTCTTTCACTTATATTCTACGAGAATTTATATATTTTTTCAGATGAAAAAAAAATATTTTTAAAAACTCTAGGGGAGCACAAGCCTATAGCCTGATGTTACTCCAAAACAAATAAAAATAGCAAAGTTTAATAATCAAATTTTATTTAAAGTTCGTAATTTTATTTAAATGAAGTTTGCAGTGTTAACAACCCAGGAGCGGAGCAAGCAACAACCGCATAGACTTCAGGGTAGTTGGTGTAGGCAAAAACCTTGACTCCCGGAGACAACACTAGCCAAAACACCACCGGATACCTAAAAGTTAGTAAATTGCTAAAAAGATAAGGCGGAGATTTTTTAAAAATATTTTTCAAACTCTAAGTTAAGACTTGGGTGTTTTGAAATTTTAAATTAAACCCGAATGTGACGGGCTTTAATTATGATTACTCACACCGCAATATTGGCAGATCTGGAGTATCATATTCTAATTTTCTTCTAGCATTGCGTCTTTACCACGTGTCATTCAAAGTTTAGCATTTGGAAAGGAAGCATGTAATTTTTATGGGTTACATGGGTTTCTAAATTTAGTTTACAGAAATATTTTTGATTTTGGTGCACCAGAACGTATACATGTTGTCAACACGTATACGCCATATTGTTTTCAATAACTTTTAACTGATACAAATTTGCATCGATTTTACATGCGACTATTCTCAGTTTGTTGGAGAGAGACCTCCTCAGCTCTCTCTCACCTACAGACTACATAACCGATGTCATTAATATTGTATAATAACTATAAGGCTGAATTATTCTCCTATCCGACAAATAAAATGAGAAAAAACTTCATGATTTTTCTTTTTTAATTAAAAAAATGTATATTATCGAATTTTATTTAAAGTTCGCAAAATTCCATTTAAACAGAGTTGGCAGCACTGACAACCCAGGAACGGAGGTAAGCAACATCAGCATAGACACCAGGGTAGTTGGTGTAGGCACAGCCTTGACCCCAGGAGACAACACCAACCAAGACACCACCGGATACCAATGGGCCGCCGGAATCACCTTGGCAAGCATCCTTACCGACAGTGTAGGCACAGATCATGCTGGCCTTGATTTCAGAACCATAACCATAGGTGGAGGAAGCACATTGGGTACGGCCAACAATCTTAACATCGACATAACGCAATTGAGATGGGATGGAACCACCATAAGAGGTAGTACCCCAGCCAGAGACGGAAGCAGCAGCACCGTTAGCGGGAGCAGTGGTAGCCAAACCGATAGCCTTGATGGTGGAGCTCATGGTCAAGGAGGAAGACAAACGGATGACAGCAATATCGTTAACCATGGTGCGGGAATTGTAACCTTCGTGGTTCTTGAAAGCGGCAACAGAGACCAAAACACCACCAGAGCTCCAGTAGGAGGAACCGGCACGGACCTTCAAGACGGAGGTGGAGACGGATTGCAAGCAATGGGCAGCGGTGACAATGATTTTGCTAGAGTAGACGGAACCACCACAGGAGTGAGAGCCGGAACGTTGCAAAGAGATTTGCCAGGGGAAGGAGCTGATGGTGGTAGCAACACCGCCAACAATACGGCCATCCAATTGGGGCAACATACCCTCAGGTACGGCGGCGCCCAAAGCGCAAGCAGCGACAGACAATAAAATTACGAACTTCAACATGTTGATCGGAATAGAATCAACTACTGAAATTTTGGCGGATATCGTTGCTGTTTTATAGGGAATTGTGTGTAGATAATTGCCATAGATAATCATAAAATGACCACAGATAAATAAACATTTTTGAAGAAGTACTTGAAGATTAGGCATACAAATCAATTGTATATTCGAAACTTGTCGTATGTTTGCTTATCAATTGTTTTGCTTATGCAATGCTTTGAAGTCCAGTACATTTGTTTGGTGTCCAAAAAACATTAACATTATCGAACATATCGGATAATTCTGGTTCTGCCGGTTAAGAAGTTTGCAAAAACGTTTTGTGTTTGAAAAAAAAAATATGCGTTAGAATGATTTACAGGAGGACATACAATCAGTTGAACTATTACGTATACGTTGTGGCACCATATATACGTCCTGAAGTACTTAATTGAAAATTAATTGAAATTAAATACTATTATAACTGTTGAGACTGAAAATAAGAAAGATTTTCAAATCGGTCTCTTAGGGCGCGTATACATTATGACACCATGTATACGCCCTGTTGTAGAGTATGCCTCAAAATTATAACATTATGCTCAAGATGTGATGTGATCCTTTGTGATATGGAATTAATTTTACTTTGGCCTAAGTGTATTTCTTCTTTTTATAGAATAATTGAAGGTTTTTTTTTTTCAAAAGATCCTTAGCATTTTAAATTAACAAATAAATAAAATCGGGTCCCACATGGCGTATTCGTTGTGATATCACTTATACGCCTTTTTTCGTTAAGGCACAATTTCATTCCGGATGGACAACAAATTTGGCAGAGAGTTAGTTTCACTGCCTCATCATAGATTAATAATTTTGGATATGAAAATTGATTTTATTTTGGCGTGTCATAGGGTGAACCTAACATTTATTTAGGCCTAACTATTTTCTTTACATGGAAAGTCTGAAGGTCTTCTTATCAAAAAAATGCCAGTAAATTTTTCCGTATAAGACATGAAGGTCTTCTCACAAAGTTGTTTGAGTTGGAGGTATTCATCTCATAGAAAATCTCCTTCTTAAAGAAGGTCAGAAATAATAATTTTATAGAGAACTTAGAAGACCTTATTAGAATTACTGATGTGCTGTGCTGATGTGATGAATGTAGATTGAATACCAATCGATATTTTACTTTTACAATTCTTGTTAGCCTCTTCTTTAGGAATATTTTCTCTAAAGGCATCAAATTTTAAGGTTTTCTCAAATACTGACTTCATCACAGATAGAGAAATAGTCAGGGTTTTTTTCGGAAAAGGCCTAGTTCATTTTGGAACTCTCAGACGTTTACATATTGAAGATAGATCATGAAGTTTTCAACGTATGACAATAAAATAATGTTGTTCACAAGACCATTTTAGGGTTTGGGTACACCATGACGTAGGCATGTTGTCACAACGTATACGCCACTTGTACCTTTAAAATTTTTGTACTTATCACTTAGAGAATTGTTATATTTTTATGAATATGGTAAAAATCTTATAATACAAATTTAAAAAATCTTTAAAACCCTCAAGGGAAGAAGATTCCTTTTGCCTGAAATTATTTTTAAACAAATAAAAATAACAACGTTTTTAGTTAATCAAATTTTATTTAAAGTTCGTAATTTTATTTAAATGGAGTTGGCAGTGTTAACAACCCAGGAGCGGAGGGCAGCAACATCAGCATAGACACCAGGGTAGTTGGTGTAGGCACAGCCTTGACCCCAGGAGACAACACCAGCCAAAACACCACCGGATACCAATGGGCCGCCAGAGTCACCTTGGCAAGAGTCCTTACCGACAGTGTAGGCACAGATCATGCTGGCCTTGATTTGGGAACCATAACCGTAGGTGGAGGAAGCGCATTGAGTGCGGCCAACAATCTTAAGGTCAACATAACGCAATTGAGCGGGGATGGAGCCACCGAAAGAGGTAGTACCCCAGCCGGAAACCTTAGCAGCAGCACCGTTAGCGGGAGCAGTGGTAGCCAAAGCGATAGCCTTGATGGTAGAGCTCATGGTCAAGGAGGAAGACAAACGGATGACAGCAATATCGTTAACCATGGTATTGGCATTGTAACCTTCGTGGTTCTTGAAAGCGGCAACAGAAACCAAAACACCACCAGAGTTCCAGTAGGAAGAACCAGCACGGACCTTCAAGACGGAGGTGGACACGGATTGCAAGCAATGGGCAGCGGTGACAATGATTTTGCTAGAGTAGACGGAACCACCGCAGGAGTGAGAGCCGGAACGTTGCAAAGAGATTTGCCAGGGGAAGGAGTTGATGGTGGTTGCAACACCGCCAACAATACGGCCGTCCAATTGGGGTAGCATACCATCGGGGATGGCAGCACCGAAAGCGCAGGCAGCGACAGACAATAAAATTACGAACTTCAACATGGTGATGAGTTGAACTGATTTCTTCATGTTGTAGCACCTGAATTTATACTAAAATTTTTTATGATATTTGTGTTAGATAACCGTAATCAATGAATGTTGTGAAGTAGGTTCTATAAGATTAGACAATGACAAATATATATGTATATACATATGTATGAATATGTATATATGAAGACAGCAAATTATGTTGAGTACGTGTATTGATTGATTTGCAAATCTCATCTATGCTATTTTTTTTTTTTTTTAAGAAATTGTCCTATAACCCATCCTCCCCACATTTTTATAAAATAAACGCAATTCAATATATATATATTGTTTTTTTTTTAATTAATATAATTTTTTTTAAGTTCACAAATGTTATAGAGTATTTGTTTTTAAAATAATATTCCAATTCCTTAATGATATTTTGTATGGGAACAGCGGTGCGTATGAATGCTGACAACACGTATACGCCACCATATTAATAAGCAATAATATTAGCTTTTAATTTAATTTACTTTTTTTTTAAATAATATTTTTTCATGAACATCGGTTTTTTTAATAATAATTTTTAAGCATAATAGATGTAGGGTCTTTGAATATACACTTGAAGAACCATGGATATTATATATTATATAGATGTTAATATTAATATTCGGTAGACAAATCCTATTTCCTGGAATGGCATATTAATAGACCCTGGAGAGGAGCAACGCCTATTATTGTATATAACCAGTAGACATTTTAATATCTAACTTAATTGTTTACATCAAGGCCTATTAAACAGGGCCCCCAAGTAAGACAAACTGCAAATAGCTGATTTGCTGTCAAAATCCATTATTGTGAATTGATTTCACATTATGAAATGGTAAATAAGGACCAAACTTTTGAAATTTTAGTTGAACAAAAAATCCGATGTTTTTCGCTATCTGGGTGACCTTATTAATAGGTCTTGATTTGAATTGTTCTACAGTGTTATTAATTCACAATAACATTTGTTGACATCATTTAAAAACTGCTGTTCATCTTGGGTAATCAGATTCGAAAATAAACATAAACACACATTTATTCTTAGAGGTATCTCTAAAAGGAATAATAAAAAAATATTTTAATACTGATCGCATGGAATATGGCTAATATGTGTGTAGTAGTTCTAATTAGTGGCGTGTGCAACCAAATTTTTTGGAAAAGGCCTAAAATAAAATTTCTTGATCTCAGTGATAGTCACAAAATTGAAATTCAAATATGATACAACTCCTCAATATAATCTATAAGTTGACGAGCATAGATTATAATCTATGCTCTCTCTCTATATATATACATATCTAATCATGTAGTATTTTCTTCCAAACATATTCTTAGATTACGATTATCTATCATAAGTATCTTCAAGGAATTTAGTATAAATTCCGGTGCTACGACGTGAACAAATCAGTTCAACTCATCACAATGTTGAAGTTCGTAATTTTATTGTCTGTCGCCGCTTGCGCTTTCGGTGCTGCCATCCCCGATGGTATGCTACCCCAATTGGATGGCCGCATTGTTGGCGGTGTTGCTACCACCATCAACTCCTTCCCCTGGCAAATCTCTTTGCAACGTTCCGGCTCTCACTCTTGCGGTGGTTCCGTCTACTCTAGCAAAATCATTGTCACCGCTGCCCATTGCTTGCAATCCGTCTCCACCTCCGTCTTGAAGGTCCGTGCTGGTTCTTCCTACTGGAACTCTGGTGGTGTTTTGGTTTCTGTTGCCGCTTTCAAAAATCACGAAGGTTACAATGCCAATACCATGGTTAACGATATTGCTGTCATCCGTTTGTCTTCCTCCTTGACCATGAGCTCTACCATCAAGGCTATCGCTTTGGCTACCACTGCTCCCGCCAACGGTGCTGCTGCTAAGGTTTCCGGCTGGGGTACTACCTCTTTCGGTGGCTCCATCCCCGCTCAATTGCGTTATGTTGACCTTAAGATTGTTGGCCGCACTCAGTGTGCCTCCTCCACCTATGGTTATGGCTCTCAAATCAAGGCCAGCATGATCTGTGCCTACACTGTCGGTAAGGACTCTTGCCAAGGTGACTCTGGCGGCCCATTGGTATCCGGTGGTGTTTTGGCTGGTGTTGTCTCCTGGGGTCAAGGTTGTGCCTACACCAACTACCCTGGTGTCTATGCTGATGTTGCTGCCCTCCGCTCCTGGGTTGTTAACACTGCCAACTCCATTTAAATAAAATTACGAACTTTAATAAAAAAAATTCGTTTAAAAACAATTTTAGTTTTTTTATTGATTTCGAAATAACATCAGGGCAATGGGAAATAAGAATGGTTAAAAAAAACTGGGTCTATATAGATGTTACACCATTCAAAAATTTTCTATTATGGTCAATTTATTTTCTATTATGATTTTATCAAAGCAAATTAATAATGCCATCCAGGAGGATCAGCTGTTTTTCAGCTACTTCTCAGGTTTGATGAAGGTTATTCAATCACAATGGTGATTTTTGAGAGTTCTACACAAGATGCAATAATAAGGTGATGTATCAAAACAAAAACATTTTTTTTTGTCTCGATTATCTGTCAAAATTTTCCGTATAATATTTCAAAAATTTGGCAGCATTGCACATCGAATTCAAGTAAAATTTACCACTTTGACAGTTAATCAAGACATCAGCTGCTCTAAATGGACTACCTATTCATTGTGCCATGGTTGTACAGTAGTCTCTCGAGTTAGCTTCCAACAGCCATTATTGTGAATTGACTTCAAGTTTTGAAAACGTAAAAAATAACGTCGAAATTTTTGATATTAGAGTTGAGGAAAAAACAGCTGACTTTCTCTACCTGGGTGACCTTATTAATAGGCTTTGAAATAAATCATATCAAAATATAAAGAAGAATTTCGACTTCTGGTCGATTTCAAGGTTATTCCCGCAGAAGTAGCATTATAATTTAGTAATTATATATTTAATAAAAAATTAATAATAAAAATAATATTTACCAAGTATTGTATTGAAAATACACCAAAATATATATTTTAATACATCTTAATTTTCGTTTTCACCAAGGTCTATTATTAATGTCATCCAGGAAGCAGAAAGTAGCAGTCACTATTGTGATTGAATAACCTTTATACTGTCAAAATGTTTACATATTTAAATGATAAATTTGAAATAATTTCAATAAGAGCTTTTATGAAGCCCAGTTTTTTTCTCTCAAATTTAATTCCAAAAATGTGGACGTTATTTACGTTTAATAACTTGAAGTCAATTCACAATAACGGCTTTTGACAGCAAACTTGACAAACAGCTGATATCCAGCTGATCTTCCTTAATGACCTTATTAATATGACTTGATTAATTCGTAATGGCCATGTCGAAGGACCACGTCGAAGGAGGACAGTATGTTTGAATTCTCCTATGTAAACCCGTTTTTTTTTTAAATATATCGAAATTTTACTATTTTCCGATGTTATTTCTCAACCAATAAAAACCAAAATTTTTTTAAATCGAAATTTTTTTATTTAAGTTCGTAATTAAATTTAAACAGAGTTGGCAGCATTGACAACCCAGGAACGGAGGTAAGCAACATCAGCATAGACACCAGGGTAGTTGGTGTAGGCACAGCCTTGACCCCAGGAGACAACACCAGCCAAAACACCACCGGATACCAATGGGCCGCCAGAGTCACCTTGGCAAGAGTCCTTACCGACAGTGTAGGCACAGATCATGCTGGCCTTGATTTGAGAGCCATAACCATAGGTGGAGGAAGCACATTGAGTGCGGCCAACAATCTTAAGGTCAACATAACGCAATTGAGCGGGGATGGAGCCACCGAAGGAAGTAGTACCCCAGCCGGAAACCTTAGCGGCAGCACCGTTGGCGGGAGCAGTGGTAGCCAAAGCGATAGCCTTGATGGTGGAGCTCATGGTCAAGGAGGAAGACAAACGGATGACAGCAATATCGTTAACCATGGTATTGGCATTGTAACCTTCGTGATTTTTGAAAGCGGCAACAGAAACCAAAACACCACCAGAGTTCCAGTAGGAAGAACCAGCACGGACCTTCAAGACGGAGGTGGACACGGATTGCAAGCAATGGGCAGCGGTGACAATGATTTTGCTAGAGTAGACGGAACCACCGCACGAGTGAGAGCCGGAACGTTGCAAAGAGATTTGCCAGGGGAAGGAGTTGATGGTGGTAGCAACACCGCCAACAATACGGCCATCCAATTGGGGCAACATACCCTCAGGTACGGCGGCGCCCAAAGCGCAAGCAGCGACAGACAATAAAATTACGAACTTCAACATGTTGATCGGAATAGAATCAACTACTGACATTTTCGTGTACTATGCGGCCGTTTTATACGAAAAATTATACGAAGATACGTTGGTGATAGATAATCGTAATATATGAATGATTTGAATAAGTACTTCGTTTTGAGATTATGTATTCAATTTATGTTTAAGCATATTTGGTTAAAATTCGGTGTTCTGTCTCCGTAAAAGTCGCTGGAAAACCCCTCTGGTTTTTTTTAAAAACCCGTGGATCCCTATAAACACCTTTGGGTCTTTGGATGTCTAAAAAACAACACTTCGGATACCCATGAGGATCTAGGTTTTATTTTGAGGAGACCTGTGGGTTTCTAAAAAGACCTACGATTTCTGTTATAGATAACAAAAGTTGCCCATCTAACTCCACCTGGTTTTCATTTGTTGTTGTTGTTACGCCTCCACACGCCCATGACCATAACAACCACTTCAATTCTGATAACACAAACAATCACAGTGACAACTTGATGACGATATGGCTAAGACATAATTTTGCAAAAATATTGACTTGTCTAATTTTTGGCACGGTAAAATCTGATTCTGCTTATCGGGTACTTCAGAAATTGCGCAGTAAAAATTGCTGGACATTAGGCCCAAATGTTGGCATATAAAAGTTAGCTGGATGGTGCTGAAGATCAGTAGTTGATTCTATTCCATCAACATGTTGAAGTTCGTTATTCTATTGTCTGTCGCTGCTTGCGCTTTGGGCGCCGCCGTACCTGAGGGTATGTTGCCCCAATTGGATGGCCGTATTGTTGGCGGTGTTGCTACCACCATCAGCTCCTTCCCCTGGCAAATCTCTTTGCAACGTTCCGGCTCTCACTCCTGTGGTGGTTCCGTCTACTCTAGCAAAATCATTGTCACCGCTGCCCATTGCTTGCAATCCGTCTCCACCTCCGTCTTGAAGGTCCGTGCTGGTTCTTCCTACTGGAACTCTGGTGGTGTTTTGGTCTCTGTTGCCGCTTTCAAGAACCACGAAGGTTACAATTCCCGCACCATGGTTAACGATATTGCTGTCATCCGTTTGTCTTCCTCCTTGACCATGAGCTCCACCATCAAGGCTATCGGTTTGGCTTCTACTGCTCCCGCTAACGGAGCTGCTGCTTCCGTCTCTGGCTGGGGCACTACCTCTTATGGTGGTTCCATCCCATCTCAATTGCGTTATGTCGATGTTAAGATTGTTGGCCGTACCCAATGTGCTTCCTCCACCTATGGTTATGGTTCTGAAATCAAGGCCAGCATGATCTGTGCCTACACTGTCGGTAAGGATGCTTGCCAAGGTGATTCCGGCGGCCCATTGGTATCCGGTGGTGTATTGGTTGGTGTTGTCTCCTGGGGTCAAGGCTGTGCCTACACCAACTACCCTGGTGTCTATGCTGATGTTGCTTACCTCCGTTCGTGGGTTGTCAATGCTGCCAACTCTGTTTAAATTATGAACTTGAAATAAACGAAAAACGATATTGATCATTTAAATTAAATGTTGTTTTATTAAGAAATGGGTTAAAAAAGGGTTCCAAGTTATATTTTTTCGGGACCTTAAAATGGAGGCCCTTTAAAAATATATAAAATACACTTAAGCGTTAGGGGTAAAAAATATATTGAAGATTTTCCATAGAGGATCCAAATTTATAGATAGGCTTTAAATATATTTTTAATGAAATGGAATCGATTCACTAAAAATATTCTCAAATTAGAAAAAATCCGATAGTATGTGGAAATAATTCTTTAAAAAATATTATTTATTTTAAAGAAGCTGACTCGGGTGACGTATACGTATTGTCAGCATTCATACAGACCTATGGCCCCAATATATGATATAATATAATCGTGTTTATAAAAGACATCGATTGCTATCGATTTCGCTCTGGATCTATAAAGGATCCAAATTTATAGATGGGCTTTAAAATATTTTTAAAGAAATTGAATCGATTTATAAAAAAATTCTCAAATCCAAAAAAATCAAAAATATATTTTTATAAAACATAAGCAGTAAATCGAACCGGGCTTAGAATTATTTCCCCTAAAAAGTACAACATGTCTGGAACCTAAAATATTTTTTGAAAATGTGACATTTTGCCCTTCAAGGCTCCATTAAAAATTCTATATTTTTAAGAAGCTGACTCGGGTGACGTATAAGTATTGTCAGCATTCATACGTACCTATGGCTCCCCTAATATATTATCATTGTAATAATAAAAGAGATTGATCCTTGGTATTCTAAAAATAAATTCACCTATAAATTCTTCACATTCTAGGTTGCAATATTATCCGAATTATTAACTGTCATTATTAATTTACCTCACTGTATCTCACGAAATACCCAGGGTGTTCTGTAAACTAAATACCTTAAAATTTATTGCCGATGTTTCAGTTATCAGGGAATTGAATACCAGCAAGATATGCCAGTGAAATTGTAATACCCTAGGTTGATAAATTATAATGGCCCTCTTATATAAATACAACGGGATGGAATACATATCCCATAGAAAAAAATATTTCCTTTTCCAAAATGTTAAAAATCGCGATTGTATTGGTGACTCTATCCTCCACCCTGGCTGCCAATATTCCCGGGGGCCTATTGCCTCAATTAAATGGTCGCATTGTTGGCGGTGTGGCCACCGACATTAGTTCTTATCCCTGGCAAATATCCCTACAACGTAGTGGCTATCATTCCTGTGGAGGTTCAATTTATTCCAAGAACATTGTCATAACCTCTGCCCATTGCATGCAGGATGTTACTATTTCTGTACTCAAAGTTCGTGCAGGATCTTCACAGTGGAATGAAGGAGGTATTTTACTTAACATAGCCTCGTTTAAGACCCATGAAGGTTTCAGCAGCTGGTCAATGGTAAATGATGTTGCTGTTCTCAGATTAAGTTCTTCCCTGATTTTTAGTCCCACAATACGGTCAATTGCTTTGGCCACCAAGTCACCTTTGGATAATGCAGCAGCTGTTGTTACGGGATGGGGTGCACGTTCATTTGAATCGGGTGTTTTGGCAAATACTTTGCAATATGTTAATGTCAGTATTGTAAGTAATGTGGAATGCCGTTCTCCCGTCTATGGTTATGGTTGGCAAATTCAACCCACCATGCTGTGTGCCTATGCCAAGGGTAAGGATGCCTTTCAAGGTGATTCAGGGGGACCATTGGTATCCGGAGGCCAATTAGTTGGTGTTGTTTCATGGGGTTATGGTTGTGCATTGCCCAATTATCCTGGGGTATATGCTGATGTTGCTGTCCTCAGGCCTTGGATTATTAGGGCTGCTTCGTCGATTTGAAGTTGGGAAGGAAAATATGCCATAGTTTGAAATATATATAATAAAGAAATTCCGTAAAATCTGCCTTTTTATCGTTTATCATCTGCGAAAATGTTTTTGTTTGTGGCGTATAAATAACGTCGACAGCCATACGCACCCGTGTACTTGGTATATAACATGTCTGCAGTGAAGTGCGCCTCTAATTTTTCGTTATTATCGATTTGAATAAGGGAGTTAATTACGACATATTTCGAAACTTTAATAATAAAGATAATATTAAATTTGGACTTCTTCTTTTTTTATTTATTTAAAAAAAGTATATTTTTATCTGAGTTTTTCTATTCATCATCTACGGAAATGTTTTGGTGTTTTTGTGACGTATAACTAACGTCGACAGTCATACGCTCTGGTGTACCGGCTTCAAAATCTGTCTTCAGTGGACTATATTGTGATAATTTTAAATTGTTCCATTTTATAATTTTGAGATCAGTTTCGTTATTATCGATTTGAAATAGGAAATACGACATTGTTCTAAATGTAAATAATAATTTTGGACCCCTTCATAGGTTGTTATTTATTAAAAAACAATGCTGCTTTTTATCTGTCTTTTTCTATTCTTCATGTTCGGAAATGTTTTGGGGCTTTCTTGACGTATAACTAACGTCGACAGTCATACGTACCCCGTGCACCTGCTTTAAAATCTGTCTGCAGTGAAGTACACCTCTAGAATGTGCTGTGCTAATTTTAAATTGTTCTAATTACTTATTTTAAAATCTGTTTTGCACAACAAAATCCATTGTTATCGTAGGATTTTGTTATGACGCCAACGTTTTTGGGTATATAGGAATTTCCAATTTTGCCCAACGAAATCTGAAGTGTTTTCTTTTTTTGTTTTCGAATATCAGATAATTTTGTCTAGTATAAAAACATGTATATTATCTTGTCTTGCTGAATTTGAGGGCGTACGTGCCAATTTGCGAATTTTTGATAGATTACCAGACGTTCTTATAAGGTAAACATATTTGTTTTAAGATCATTCCGAACAATACGTCTGGATTTTTTTTCATAAGTGGCGACAGTAATCATATGTCCACTATAAAGAAATCCTGAGCTCTTAAAAAATATCATCAGAAGGATTTAAAGAATATTTGTTAGTAATGTGAGAGCTTTAAGAGTGAATTTTAAAATAATAACCCTGGAGCTATGAGCAAGATTTTTTTAGAGAATAGTTTTAGAAGTTCACAGAGAGCTATAAACGATAAATAAAAACAAAATCGAAAATATTCAAAACTTGTACTAGATGCATAGACAAAGTAAATTGTAAGTTTGAAGTTCGTTGGCGTATAAGTGGTGACAGTAATCATACGCCCCTTGGTCCACTATGAAAAAATAATTTATGAAATGTAGCATGAGGTTTTAAAGAATTTTCCTAGATGGAAATATTCCTAGAAAAATCCACGGTGTGGATTTTTGGAAGAAGAGCTAGGAGAGTAAAATTTTCTATTTTTTAATATTTTAGAGAATATTTTTAAAAGTTTCCGGAGAACTATCAACGACAAATAAAAAAACAAATTCATTTCCAAACACAACAATATTTATTGAATTCTTTTTTAACCATTTCTAATTATAATTAAACCGAATTAGCTGCACTGACAACCCATGAACGCAGCGTGGCAACATCAGCATAGACACCAGGATAATTGGCAAAAGCACATCCATAACCCCAAGAGACAACACCAACCAAAACACCACCCGATACCAATGGACCACCCGAGTCACCTTGACAGGCATCCTTACCGGTGGCATAGGCACAAATCATTGTCGGTTTAACTTCCGAACCATAACCGTACGAGTTACTTGCACAAGCTGCCTGGCTAACAATGCTAACATCAACATATTGCAAAGTGCTGGGTAGCGAACCCGAACCATATGATTGTGTACCCCAGCCAGAGACAACAGCGGCGGCACCATTAGCCGGAGCCTTTGAGGCCAATGGAATAGCTTTAATGGTCGAACCAAATGTCAGCGAGGAACTCAAACGCACCACAGCAATATCATTGACCATAGTCCAGGAATTGTAGCCTTCGTGATTTTTGAAAGAAGCCACAGCAACTAAAACACCGCCAGCATTCCAATTGGTGGAGCCGGCACGTACTTTCAGCACAGAGGTGGACACCGATTGCAAGCAATGGGCAGCGGTAACAACGATATTGCCGGAATACAAAGAACCACCGCAGGAGTGAGAACCGGAACGTTGCAAAGATATTTGCCAGGGGAAGGAATTGATGGTGGTAGCAACACCACCCACAATGCGGCCATCCAATTGCGGCAACATACCCTCTGGTATGGCGGCGCCCAAAGCACAGGCAACGCTGGCCAATAATATAATGGTCTTCAACATTTTCGGGAAATTCAAACTTGGAATGAGGTTTCGAATGTGAATTGTTTGGTATTTATAGGAAAAAAAGACCTTGAAATAATGCACTTACGAAATTTACATTGTAATGGTACCCCATTTTTCAAGTGCATTGTGCTGGCTTTCGCCTGGAGTGCATTGATATCTATTACACCCAGAATGATAACAAGGAGAATTATTATTATTTTTTTTTCATTGGTATTTGTTGTTGAGGAAATTCCCAAGATTTGATGATAACACAGGGAATGTGATAAAGAATTCATTAATCCCAAAACTTGGAAAAACCAAAAAATATCTTCTTAAGGAAGTGATTGATGACCGATTGCACTTGGAAATTAATTGAAATGCTGAAGATGTCATCTTATGGATCCTTTGAAGGGGGTTTTCAAAGGGGTACACAATCGAATCCACACACAATTGTTCGTCATTGCTGATAATAAAAAAAAATTAATCGAAATATTGGATAAATAATTTTTGCGTTCATTCAGTTGTTCGAAAATTATCGCGTTTAAAGTTCAATGATCTTTCGGGAAGAAATTATCCGTTCATATTTTTTTATTTCAAAGTTTGAAGATAATATATTTCTATGAAAAGCTGACGTATAAGTAACGACAACACGCATACGCACATATACACCCTTAACCAATTAGCACTTGAAAAAAATGAAAGCTGAACAGTTCAAGCTAATTTTTTACAATCATTTTAAAAGTAATTTATTTCTCAGAATATTGGTTGGAATTTTTGAGCGGTTTCTTGTGCAAAATAGTTAGATATGCCCCTCAATAAGTCACGTTTTTACATAATATACTATTACATACTTATAGATATGTTAACACATGACATATCATGCTCTCAACATATCATTGTAGATAAACCCTTTTCTAGGCACGTGTTAGTACTTCAGCCTTAAAGTACTCTAAAATCAATTTACACTATCTGTTAGCCAGTTACATAGTCAACGATTTTGTCTAACGTGACCAAATACCTCTCTAGATAGCTGTAAAAATGTAATCGATATCTTAAGTATATAGATAATTTATATTTTCAATTACTTCTTCGAAAACTATCACATTTTAAGTAGAAAAGTTCAATGATCTCTACGGAATTATTGCACTTAATGGAAATTAGAGAGTATTTAAAAGGTAGGTAATCCTTGGCGCATAAGTAACGACAGCACGTATACGTACTGTATGTATCCCATGCAAATTCAATTTAATCCTATAATCGCATTACTAAGGCAATTATTTTTAATTATTTGTAATTAAATGTAATTATTTTATCAAACATTTCTTCAAAATGTTTAAAAATCCACTTTTAAATATCCACGCTTCTCGGTTTGAGAGTGCTCGAGTGGTTCTATATTCTGAGCCTGGGTAATATTTCGCGATATTTGCACCCTCTTGACCGATTAGAGGTCAACAAATATTACACATATTCAGTACAGCCCTTCTAATCACTTGTCCAGATTCCCTTCATCCTGGGTTGTGTTGTGATGTTCGGCTTTTAATTTTGGCCTATATATCGACTCGAAAAAAACACCAAAAAATAAGTTTTCGGTCCACGTCATCCCAAAATTATTATCTAATTATCACCGAAAATTATAGGCATTGTCGGTGACCATAACTTCAACCTCATGGAACATTTCAAAATCATCAGTGCTTTATTTCCGCCCTTTGGTGTGGTAATGGTTTACTAAATAATATATGAATACGTAAATATTTAAGTGTAACTCTCACACCCGAGTACATACGACAATAAAATTGGTATCAAGTTAAAGGTCAACCACCCCTCTTGGATATACTATCAACTTCTCGGTTCTATGCCATTCAGGGGTAAATCTATACGCTATAGAACACAAATTTTGTACTTTTTCACACAAAAGTCTTTGGCCCGATCCCCTTCTTCGTGCAAAAATTCGCGGTGTTTGGGTCATAATTGCGACCAGAAAAACCGACAAAAATAATGTTTGTTGGTCCATTTCATCCCCTAAATATTAACCGATCTTTTCCAAAAACGATAGGGGTCTTCATTGGCCAGAACCCATCCTACATGCAAAATTTCGTGAAGATTGTCTAGATCGACTCAGCTAGTCGAGATATGACGATCGGTATACTTAAAGGTGGGTCTAGGACCAATATTTTGCCGCGTTACAAACTTTTGGGCTGCACAAAGCTATAATACCCTGACAACATAGTTGTGTAGGGTATACAAATCCACGCTTTAAGGCCTGAGAGTTCTTCTAAAAATATTCTTTCAAAATCAACTCTTGGGAGTTATTTTCTTAAAAATTCAGGCTTTTAGGTCTGAGAGTTCTTCAAAAATTATTCCTTAAAAGCCTACGCTTCTAGATGTTAGAGTTCATATACAAATATTATTTAAAAATTAACGCTTCTAGATCTCGATGTTCTTCTATAAAATTGTCAAAAATCCAAGCTACTAAGTCTGAGAGTTCTTTAAAAATCTACACTTTCTTCTAGAAATCTTCTTTAAAAATCTACGCTTTCTTCTAGAAATCTTCTTTAAAAATCTACGCTTTCTTCTAGAAATCTTCTTTAAAAATCTACGCTTTCTTCTAGAAATCTTCTTTAAAAATCTACGCTTTCTTCTAGAAATCTTCTTTAAAAATCTACGCTTTCTTCTAGAAATCTTCTTTAAAAATCTACGCTTTCTTCTAGAAATCTTCTTTAAAAATCTACGCTTTCTTCTAGAAATATTCTTTAAGACTCCACGCATTTGAAGCTCAGGGTGGGCTAGAAATCTTCTTTAAAAATCCACGCATTTGAAGCTCAGGGTGGGCTAGAAATCTTCTTTAAAAATCTACGCTTTCTTCTAGAAATCTTCTTTAAAAATCTACGCTTTCTTCTAGAAATCTTCTTTAAAAATCTACGCTTTCTTCTAGAAATCTTCTTTAAAAATCTACGCTTTCTTCTAGAAATCTTCTTTAAAAATCTACGCTTTCTTCTAGAAATCTTCTTTAAAAATCTACGCTTTCTTCTAGAAATCTTCTTTAAAAATCTACGCTTTCTTCTAGAAATCTTCTTTAAAAATCTACGCTTTCAGATCTCAATGTTCTTCTAAAAATATTCTTTAAAAATCTACGCTTTCAGATCTCAATGTTCTTCTAAAAATATTCTTTAAAAATCTACGCTTTCTTCTAGAAATATTCTTTAAAAATCTTCGCTTTCAGGTCTCAATGTTCTTCTAAAAATATTCTTTAAAAATCTACCCTTTCAGGTCTCAATGTTCTTCTAAAAATATTCTTTAAAAATCTACGCTTTCAGATCTCAATGTTCTTCTAAAAATATTCTTTAAAAATCTACGCTTTCAGATCTCAATGTTCTTCTAAAAATATTCTTTAAAAATCTACGCTTTCTTCTAGAAATATTCTTTAAAAATCTTCGCTCTCTCAATGTTCTTCTAAAAATAATCTTTAAAAATCTACGCTTTCAGGTCTCAATGTTCTTCTAAAAATATTCTTTAAAAATCTACGCTTTCAGATCTCAATGTTCTTCTAAAAATATTCTTTAAAAATCTACCCTTTCAGGTCTCAATGTTCTTCTAAAAATATTCTTTAAAAATCTACCCTTTCAGGTCTCAATGTTCTTCTAAAAATATTCTTTAAAAATCTACGCTTTCAGATCTCAATGTTCTTTTAAAAATATTCTTTAAACATCTAAGCTTTTTCTAGAAATATTCTTTAAAAATTCACGCTTCCAGGTCTCAATGTTCTTCTAAAAATATTCTTTAAAAATCCACGCTTTATGGTCTAAAAATATTTATTAAAATCCATGCTTCGAGGTCTGAGAGTACTTTAACAAATCCACGATTCTAGATCTCCAAGATCTTCTAAAATTATTCTTTAAAAATCCACGTTCTTCAGAGTTCTTCTAAAGGTATTCACATTTTTCACTTCGAAAATTATTCTTTAAATGTTCTTTTAAGAAACGCCGGTAAATATGCTATATTTCTTTGTAGGATAGATGTATGGTGCGTATAAGTATTGTCGTTATGTATACGACATAAACTCCTATGCCGTAAATTCTTCTGGGTTACTCCAAAAATGAGATATTACTCAAATTAGTGAGTGATTTTCGAGATTTACTATGATGATTTGTTGACCACTGGACTTAGGAGATTAGTTTCCCTCAGTATCTTAGCCATAATGACAATATCACTTGATAAGCTGATAATCAGGAAAAAAGTTTTAGTTTCGTACTTCAGTTTGCCGTTGTAAATATTTTAGTAAGGCTTTAGAAAATATTCAATATTTTTAATGTTATTAACATTTTAAATCAAAACTATTGTTTATAACAATAATAGCTACTAATCATTTACAAATATTTTTGCAAAAAAATGTCAAAACTTTCCCCTATCATAAATAATTGTCGTCAAGGTCTTAGACATAGACTTAAGCTGAATATCAATCATTCACACTACTCAATGAAATAGTATTTGAAAACTTAATACCCCAACAAGAGAATGGCCACAATATATTACAAGAATTACAAATTATGAGACCCTTCAATACCCCATACCAATTGTAAGCAGAAGAATTACAACGATAAGATAAGGTGACAATAGTAAGGTATCTCCGATCATCAACTGCAATTACATTGGGCATTACATGCAATGCATTTTTCATATAAATACTAGACCCATTTCCGAAGCAAAATATCAGTTCTTCTTTTTTCGAATTTTGAAAACATGTTGAAATCCGTTATCGTCTTGTCTGCCCTGGTGGCTTGTGCCATGGGTGCGGCTGCACCTGAAGGTATGTTACCCCAATTGGATGGCCGTATTGTAGGTGGTGTCTCCACAACCATTACCGCTTACCCTTGGCAAATCTCCCTTCAACGTAGTGGTTCTCACTCCTGTGGTGGTTCGGTTTATTCGGCCAACATCATTGTTACCGCTGCCCATTGCTTGCAATCTGTCTCCACCTCTGTGTTGAAAGTACGTGCTGGTTCCACCTACTGGAATTCCGGTGGTGTTTTGGTATCCGTTGCTGCTTTCAAAAATCACGAAGGTTACAATTCTCGTACCATGGTCAACGATATTGCTGTCATCCGTTTGAGTTCTTCACTGACATTCGGTTCCACCATTAAGGCTATTGCTTTGACCACCAATGCTCCTGCTAATGGTGCTGCTGCTGTTGTTTCGGGCTGGGGTACTAAAGCTTCTGGATCATCGTCGCTACCCACCACCTTGCAATATGTCGATGTGAATATTGTCAGTCAAAGCCAATGTTCTTCTTCGGCTTATGGTTATGGTTCGGAAGTTAAGCCTACTATGATTTGTGCCTATGCTGCTGGTAAGGACTCTTGCCAAGGTGATTCCGGCGGTCCATTGGTATCGGGTGGTAAATTGGTTGGTGTTGTATCCTGGGGTTATGGTTGTGCTTTCCCCAATTATCCCGGTGTGTATGCTGATGTTGCCACTCTACGTTCTTGGGTTGTTGCCACCGCCAGTTCGGTGTAAAAAAAGTTTTATGAGAACTCAAAAAAAGATTTAATAAAAATTTGATGAACATTTAAAATGATTGTGGTTATATTAATTGGGCTCATGGGTGCGTATAAGTGTTGTTGTTATGTATACGCAATATAAGGGAAAAAGCTTTCCCCAGTTTTAGGAGATCTCTGAGGCCTATATGAGTTTATTTTATAGAGTAGTTTTTAAAGGAATCTTAGAGATATCAGCGTAGATTTTTAAACAATATTTTGGGAAGAATTTAGAGACCTATAAGCTTGGATTTTTAAAGAATGTTTTTAGAAGAACTCTGAAGAACAACGTAGAGACCTTAAAGAGTGGATTTTTAAAGAATATTTAGGGAAGAATATTGAGACCTATAAGCGTGGATTTTTAATGAATATATTGGAAAGAATTTAGAGACCTAAAAGCGTGGATTTTTAATGAATATTTTGGGAAACAACTTAGAGACCTATAAGCGTGTATTTTTAAAGAATCTTTTTAGAAGAACTCTGAAGACTTGAAGTGTGGATTTTTAAAGAATATCTTGGCAACGACTTAGAGACCTTAAAGAGCGAATTTTTAAAGAATATTTTGGGAAGAACTTAGATACCTTGAAGCGTGGATTTTTAAAGAATATTTTGAGAACAACTTAGAGACCTTAAAGAGAGGATTTTAAAGAATATTTAGGGAAGAATTTAGAGACCTATAAGCGTGGATTTTTATTGAATATTTTGGGAAGAATTTAGAGGCCTAAAAGCGTGGATTTATATAGAATATTTTGGGAAGAATTTAGAGACCTAAAAACGTGAATTTTTTAAAGAATGTCTTTGGAAGAACTTAGAGGCCTAAAAGCGTGGATTTTTAAAGGATATTTTGGGAAGAACTGGAAGATATAAAAGCGTTGATTTTTGAAAAATATTTTGGGAACAACATAGAGACCTAAAAGCGTGGATTTTTTAAGAATATTTTGGGAAGAACTTAGAAACCTAAAAGCGTGGATTTTTAAAGGATATTTTTAGAATACCCCGAGAGCTATTAGCGTGCGTTTTTTATTGTATCATAATTTGAGAAGAACCTTGAGGCCTTGAAATTTGTATTTTTAAGAATATTTTTGGAGAACTCTCAGACCTTGATCCCGAAATGATGATTCGAAAGTATTTCCCTCAATAGATTTTTTGCGTACAAATCGGAAATTGGAGCCTATTTTTAATATATCTATAATGGTGGCGCATAAGTAACGACAACACGTATACGCACATATGTACCATATATAATTTCAATTTCATTTTATCCTGAAAATTTTAAAGAATTTTTTAGAAGAGCTCTGAAGAATATTTTTAGAAGAACTCTGAAGACTAAAAGAGAATACACAGAGAGCTATTAGCGTGCGTTTTTTGTATTATAATTTGAGAAGAACTTTGAGGCCTTGAAGTGTGTATTTTTACAGAATATTTTGGGAAGAACTAGCATACCTAGATGCGTGGATTTTCATGGATATTTTTAGAATTACTCTGAGATCTAGAAGCTTATTTCTTTGAATAATATTTTCAGAACTACTATGAGGCCTGCTAGCGTTGATTTTTAAACAATATTTTTTTAAGTGTCCCAGTTTCATTAATAAATATTTTTGAAAAGACTCTCAGAGCATTAATTTATTAATTTTTTTTATATCGAACCTGAGAGCTTTAATCTAATTTATATTTTGCAGCCCTTATACTAGATCTTGTAGAGCACTTATGCGTATACGTTACGACATTACTTATACGCAATAATATACGAAAAAAATCCCAATGCTTCCTATATACAAAAATATCTACGCCAAAATCATATGACCTCAGTATTTTTCCTCTATATGTATTTGTTCCCTATACATATAAACAACAAAAGAAATTACTTTTCAATTATCGTGTTTATGTTTTGTACCCATTATCAAAAAAATTTCAAGTGATTTTTTTTTACTAACAATAAACAAAAACCTTTTTTAATAAAATGGCGTGAGCTAGCAAGCGAGAGACGCGTGGTCATTGTCCTGCGTCATCATAAAATCACCCATTTTTTGATTGCCAAATTATTATCAGTTATTTTATTTTAAAATGTCAGAATTTGTTTGCCAATATTTACTTTTTGTTTTCATAATTAAACTTGGACTTCTTTTGTGTTGTGAAATTATCAGCATATCTGTGGAAAATCTTGCTTGCTGAAGTGTGCTTGTTTTATTTTGAGACATATTTGATATTTATTTTTATATAAAATGTTTTTTGATTGTTGTTGAACTATTTTTCATATCACAAAAAAGAAACATAACTATTTGTCTGACAAGTCCAAAGTGTTATGGGAATAGCCAACATGACACGCGTAGAAACGTGAATGTTGGATGATACAAAATATGGTATAAGTCCATATGTTAGGTAATCATTAATAGTGCGTATAAGTGCTGTTGTTATGTATACGACACATACTATCAGTGCTTTAGAAGGACTCTGTGCGCTATAGATCTGGATTTTTAAATAGAATATTTCTAGAAGGATTCACAGATATATAGGAGAGCATTTTAAGGGATCCTGAAATCCATATGTGTTTTTAGGAATATTTTAGGATAGACTTTTTTTCTATAGACGTGGGTGGGGATTTTTTAAAAATATCTTTAGAAGTTCCCTGAGAGCTTTTTAAAATTGTTATATTGGTTAGGCAGTCGTTAATAGTAGTTATTTTATGTTTATTGGTGCGTATAAGTGTTGTCGACACGTATACGCCACATACTATAAGTGGCTCTAAGGACTCTGTGAGATAAAGGACAGGATTTTTAAATATAATATTTCCTGAATGACACAGAGATATATGAGAGGATTTAAAGGATTCTGAAATCTATAAGTTTGGTTTTTAAGAATATTCTGGGAGAAACTTTTTGATCTATAGGAGTGGAGATTTAAATATTAGTTTTAGAAGTACATTGAGAGCTATAAGTGTGGATTTTTTTCATAATATCTTTGAAAGATCCCTGATAGCTTTTTAAGGTTGTTTAATTGGTTAGGCAATATATTTAATATTTGTTATGTCATGTTGATTGGTGTGTATAAGTGTTGTCGACACGTATACGCCACATACTATAAGTACTATAGAAGGTCTCTGCGCGCTATAGGTCTGGATTTTAAAATAAAATAGTTCTAGAAGGATTCACAAAGATATATGTTTTTTAAGAATATTGGGGGATCGACTTTTAAATTATAAGTTTTAGGTCTTTGAATATATGTGATAAGAATTTGCCTCCATAATTGACAAATCCAGTTTGATGATTTTAACTCAAAAGTAGCATCTGTTCAAAACCGGTAATGACAACGAAACTAAAACACATTTAGTGATTGATTAGGCAAAACTGTGGACGTTGGCAAAACTATGAACGTGCTTATCGAAAATCATATTCGGCCCACTAACAATTTAGATAAGACTATTCACACTTTTACTACTTTCAAAATATTTTAAAGTGATTGCCAAAATATTATTTCTTTATATCTGGCGTGTATGTGTCTTGACCAATTAGAGATCAATTCATGATAATATATTTTGTTGTTGTTTTAAATTGGTATTTAGGGAAAACTTGGAATGGTCGATAAGCGATTGAATTCCAAGAATCTGAGAAAAAGCAATTCATACCGGTTCTTTTTTATCAGTAGCGTCCAGTTACATTTTTGTTCAAATTGCCGGTTGATCCGAAGTGTCTTTGGAGTTCTGTACATATGTATTGGTAATATAAGGCCTTATAAATATATTAAATTAGTTAGAAATATGATTTTGATATTGAAGATCTACAGAATGGAGAGATTCTTTTTCTTTTGATAATATTCAGTGTCATTCCCTGCAAAATAGGCGTGGTTTATTTGCCACAGCTTGTTTACCAGAAAATTTTGTTTTTTCATTATTTAACCAATCAGAAAAGTCAATTTTGTACAGTTATGACTAGATTAATTTTAGATAAGATTGTCGATAACATTTTGAGTGTGATTACTAATTTGATTGTTTATCAGAAATCGGAAACAATTAAAAAAATGGCGGGTCATTTTTAATTAAAGTTCATTGATTCGTTGGCTTATTAGGTGTTGCTGTTGTTTTAAAATAATCAAATACATCTTTTGTATATTTGTCTACACCCTCCTAGCTTGGAGGTAATTGAAAATGTTAATCTAAAAATTCGAAATTATTTATAAAATAGTTGAGTTTTAAAATTAACTGTTTGAGTTTATAGAAAATTTATCTGGGGTGAATTGAATTGGACAATAAATTGCTTTACTTGTTTTACATTATTTTTCAATAATTTCAAAATAAAAATAATTTTGACAGTTTGAATAGGAATCAGCTGTTCTAGCTGTATGACCGTATATAAGAGCTAAGAGCTGTCATTGTGATTTATTTATTCTAAAAAATATTTTGTAACAATATCTATTAATAAGGTCACCCAGCTACCGAAAGGCAGCTGACTTTGTTTACGTTTTCATAATGGAAGTCTATTCACAATAATGGATTTTGACAGCAAACCTGAGAGGCAGCTGTTTAGCCTTGAACAAAATATATTGATAAGGTCAAGTGAATCAACTGTTTTCTTGCAAGCCTAATGTCAAAAAATTGGACTTTGTTTACGTTTTCCTAATGGAAGCCAATTCACAGTAATGGATTTTGACAGCAAACTTATGAATCAGCTGATATCCAGTTGGTCTCCCTGGATGACCTTATTAATAGGCCATGATTTTGTACAATACACGAAGCCTTATTGTGAATTGAATTCACAGCATGAAAAACGTAAATAATCAAGTTCAACGCCTATTAATGAGGTCATCCAGTGAGACCTGATAAATATCAGCTGTTTCTCAAGTTTGCTGTCATTTGTTCATTATTGTGAATTGACTTCCATTATGTAAATTTAATATGAAGCGATCAACACTAAATAAAAAAAATAAAATAAGAATAAAAAGTTATACCTTATATAAAGCGAATGAAAAATCCTGTGTGTAATTCCG